ACTGAATTTATATTTTTTATGCACACGTGCACACACACTTCTTACAAAAAGACATGCCTTGGTATATATCATAGCACACTGCGAGCAGATCCTGGGCACCCTCCCCCTCAGAACAGACTGACCTTTACGACTAAAGCACAGGCTCTGCACTGTGGCTGTGCACAGCGCACTGCGAGCGCGCCGTGGGGTCCACGTCCATAGAGCTGGGTGAGCAGGCCATTCCCTCTGTGCACAGGCTCCTAGGATACATTCCCAGCAATGGGCTCCTCCCTCCTCCCTTGTTCCATCTTTATTGAGATTCTAGAGGCCCGGTGCACAAAATTCATGCATGGATAGGGTCCCTAGGCCTGGCTGGCAATCAAGGCCAATCTGTGGGGCAACTGGTAAGGCGATCGGGGGGGGTGGGGGGGGCACCTGCTGCTGCCAGTTGCTTTCCTCTGTGGGGTGACCAGTGGGGTGATCGGGGGGCCCCCGCTGGCACCCGCCTTGGCTGGCCTGGGGCCTGCAGGCTGGGGGCAACTTCTGCATTGAGCGTCTGCTCCCTGGTGGTCAGTGCACATCATAGTGACAGGTTGATTTGCATATTAGGCTTTTATTATATAGGACTAGAGACCTGGTGCACAACATCCGTGCACTGGGGAGGTGGGCCCTCAGCCCAGGCTGTGCCCTCTCACAGTCCTGGACCACTTGGGGGAGCAGGCCTAAGCTGCCAGCGGACATCCCCCAAGGGGTCCTTAGCACTGCCTGGGGGCTAGAGAGGCTCCTGCCACCACCACTGCGCTCCCCAGTCCTGAGCCCGCTTCTGGCTGAGTGGCACTCCCTGACTACCAGGGGGCAGCTCCTGTGTTGAGCATCTGCCCCCTGGTGGTCAGTGCATATTATAGCGACCCATCTTTCTGCCATTCAGTCGATTTGCATATTAGGGTCTTATATAGGACTAGAGGCCCGTTGCATGAAGAGATTCATGCAATAGGCCTTCCCTTCCCCTGGCTGCTGGCACCGGTTTTCCTCCAGCACGTGGGACCCAGGCCTTCACTCCAGCAGGAGCCTTCAGTCTTCGTGGTTCCAGATGGAGCCTTCAGTCTTCGCTCCACCACTTCGCCCCTGCGTATGCAAATTAACCGCCATCTTTGTTGGGTTAATTTGCATACTCTCCTGATTGGTGAGCATAGTGTGGGGATGGTCAATTTACATATTTGTCTATTATTAGGTAAGACTAGAGGCCCGGTGCACAAAAATTTGTGCACTCGGGGGTAGGGGGTCCCTCAGCCCGGCCTGTGCCCTCTCGCAGTCTGGGACCCCTTGAGGTGACCACTTGCTGGCTTAGGCCTGCTCCCCAGGGGATTGGGCCTAAGATGGCAATCAGACATCCCTCTGGCAGCCCGGCAGCCCTCGGGGGATGTCCATTTGCCAGCGGGGAGCAGACCTAAGCTGCAGTCAGACATCCTTAGTGCTGCTGAGGAGGCAGGAGAGGCTCCCACCACCACTGCTGTACTGGCAGCCATCAGCATGGCTTGTGGCTGAGCAGAGCTCCTCCCTTGTGAGAGTGCCCTGACCACCAGAGGGCAGCTCCTGCATTGAGAGTCTGCCCCCTAGTGGTCAGTGTGTGTCATAGTGACCAGTCATTCCCAGTCTTTCTGCTGTTAGGGTCAGTTTGCATATTACCCTTTTACTATATAGGATAGAGGCCTGGTGCACGGGTGGGAGCGGCTGGTTTGCCCTGAAGGGTGATCTGGATCAGGGTGGGGGTCCCGCTTGGGTGCCTGGCCAGCCTGGATGATGGGCTGATGGCTGTTTGCAGCTGGTCACACCCCCTTCAGGGTGGGGGTCCCCACTGGGGTGCCTGGCCAGTCTGGGTGAGGGGCTGAGGATGATTTTCAGGCTGGCGGGCGACTGAAGCTCCCAGTCTCTTTTTTTAAATTCTGGGATTTATTTACCTTCTATAGCTGTCACTGGAGCTGAGAGCCGGCTCCAGCTCTGAGGCTGTGGTTGGCTGAAAGCAGGTATCTGGGTTTGTTTAGCTTCTATAATTGAAACATTGTTGCTTCTGGAGCTTAGAGCTGGGCCGCAGCAGGCGGGGAACCTTGGCTTCCTCCATCACTGGAGCAAGCAAGCCTCATGTTCGCTTCAGCTGCGTGGCTGCCAGCCGCCATCTTTGTTGGTAGTTAATTTGCATATCCTGCCGATTAGCCAATGGGGAGTGTTAGCGGAGGTATGGTCAATTACCATGTTTGTCTATTACTAGATAGGATACTCCCATAGCACATGACTCACCACACAGAGTGTGCACGACACAGTCGTGCTGGCTGTTCACAGGCGCACACATGCCCTGTGACCACTGCAGTCCTTCCTCCCTGCAGCCCTCTCCTGTCAGGCTATCCCCTCATTCCGCCCTTGTCACTTACATAGTTGCTTCCAGTGGTCAGCTCTCTGTCCTCAGCTAACCTGACCCATGTGCCCCTTTGCTGCAGCTGCCCTGCCCTCTTCTTCAGCCATTCATCTCTTTGAGCCACACAGTGCAGCCCTGGCCAGTTTGGATCAGTGAATAGTGAAGTGACCCTGGAGTTAAGAGCTGCAGGAGGAGAGGGAGGGGCCTCGGGTTCAATTCCGGTCAAGGGCACATACCTCAATTGCAGGCTCCATCCCCAGCCCGGGCCAGGGCGCACGCGGGAGGCAACCAATTGATGTGTCTCTCATATCCATGTTCTCTCTCTGTCTCTCGCCCTCCCGTCCACTCCCCTTAAAAATCAAGGGGAAAACAAGTCCTCGATGAGGCTGAACAACAGTGCGGGCCCAGGGCTCATTCCTCAGCCTGGGCTCCACCTGCACCTGTTCGCCGTGTCATCCTCCTGACTGCGGCTTCCCCACCAGCGAGGTGCCACTGACTCTCTAATTGGTGTCATCAGCCTTGATTTCTGTACTCCACCCCTCCCTCACCCCCAGCAGTGCCTAACAGACATCTGAAACCAAGCATCCAAAGCTGACGTGGGTCTCTCCTATTAGCTATGGCCTCTCCGTCTTCCCCTTTGTTGATTACGGAGACCTCGGGGGCACCTATGAGTCCCCAGTAAATCCTGTAGGCTCTGCCTGCATATATGCTAGCACTTCCCTCCACCTCCACTGCCCCAGCCCGGTCTGGGCCCATGGCAGCCCAGAAGGATCCTGTGAAGATTGAGGTCCAATCGCATCCCTTCTCTCCACAACGTCATGGCTCCAGCCTCACTCGCAGTCAGGCCAAGTCCTTGCTGGGGCCCACCAAGCCCTGTACATCTGCCCCAGCTTCTACTCCACCTTCCACCTTCCCCCTGACTGCACTCCAGTCCCCTGGCCTCACCGTTCCTCCATCACCTCAGGACCATCCACTTCCCCCGCCCCCTCGCCCCTCCCTCCCCTCCTGCAGCTCTTAACTCCAGGGTCACCTCCCAGCGAGTGGTCCCCGACCTATTCGCTGTTGCACACACCTGCTTCCCGCCCCTCCCCTGCTTCATTTCAATCCTAGCACTTATCACCACTTGACCAATCACATCTCTTGCTCATTTTCCTTGTTTGTGATTACCACCATCCACACTGACCCCACAAGGGTTGGGTTTTTATGTCTTGTTCTTAGCTGTAAGCCCAGTAAGATAGAGCCTGGTGTGTAGCAGGCTTTCAACAAATACTTCTGAATGAGTCAATGAATGAGTGACCAGGCAAATGTGTGCTGGCTTAGGGCCTGAGGGTCAGGGTAGGGCTAACTGAGGAGCCCAGCTTCCCTCCCCCATGATGGCCAAGGACACAAGAGACTAGCAAGGAAGGTGGCTTTGGAACCACCCAAGGCCTGGGTCCAAGACCAGTTCTACCCTCCCCAGCTGGCTGACCTTGAACAAGTCACATGACCTGTCAGAGACCGTTTTCTTATCTGGAGAATGGAGATGATAGTTTCCCACCCAGGGGCCTATTGCGAGAAATGCATGAGATAGTAGTGGCCTAGGCTCAATTTGAAAGCCGGCTCCAGGAGGGGCAGGGTGGCTGCTGGCATCTCTGGGCTCAGACAGAATGCCCCCCTACCCTCTGTTTTCCCTCCAGTGGGAAGCATCCACAGCCCAGAGCTAGGCAGAATGGCAGCAGAGGAGGAGATGATGGGGGAGTGGACGCCCCTCAAAATCTCACACTGCAGGAGGCCCAGCGTTTTGCATGAGCCCCACCCTGCAAGCCACCTGATTGCTCTAGTTTCTATCAACTTCCCTACTGCTCCCTGGGGGTTGCCTGCAGCAGGTGCCAGCAGCCCCTGGCATGACCCTACCCAGCAGCTCCATCAGGTCTTGCTTCCTCCTCGTGAAGGCCACAGGGCACAGCTTATTACTCCCATCCTATGGATGAAGAAAGTGAGGCCCAGCGAGGGTGAAGGGCTGTCCAGAGCCACACAGCCAGTCAACGACAGAGCTGGGGCCAGAGCCAGGCCTGACCCACCCTGTTTCTGCTCCCTCAGCCCCCTGACATGTGCCTCAAAGGCTCTGCTGGAGTCCCACGGAGATGCCCACCTTGTCCTGCCTTCTGAGCCCACAGCCTCACTCTCCCCAGTGCATTATTCATGCTCCCAGAGCCAGCCAGCTCCAGTTACACGGACCAAAGCCCTGGGCACCTGCGCCGCCTCCCCTCCTCCCCTTCCCAGGACATGGAGGGTCCAAGGCTCCTCTCCAAGCAACTGGGTGGGTCTGAGCACCCCACTCTGGCTCAGGAGATGCAGCTCGGCCCCCACCGACTCCTCATGTGCTGGTAGTTAGGGCGCGCTGCCCCTCTCTGGGGCTGGGTCACCCAGGCGCTCCCTTCGGGGGGCTGAGCCAGTGGAGGCCCCGGAGGGGGTGGCCGTGTCAGCAGGGGGTCTTCATCGCGCCTTCAGGCCAAGATGGCCTGCCCCAGCGCAGGCCTCCCGGCTCCGGGTAAACAACACCCACGCACTTTCCACCACCGCTCGAGGGTGAAACCCAAGGCGGAGGCTCAAGGAGATGAATTATGGATCCGCCTCCTGGGAACTGTCCCTCCCAGGCCACCAGGCCAGTCCGAGGTGCAGCGCCCAGGCCGCTCTGCAGCCGCGGCGGGAGGCCCAGCAGGACCCCGTCTCCAAGCCCCTGAACTTGGACACCGGCCCCGGCTGGTGGGGAGCAGGCCGCCACCATGGCCGACGAGGAGAAGAAAGCCAAGAAGAAGAAGAAGAAGGGGCAGGAGCCGGAGAAGCCCAAACGGAGCCTGAAGGGGACCTCCCGGCTGTTCATGGGCTTCCGTGACCGCACGCCCAAGATCTCCAAGAAGGGCCAGTTCCGCAGCGCGTCCGCCTTCTTCTGGGGCCTGCACACCGGCCCGCAGAAGACCAAGCGCAAGAGGAAGGCGCGCACGGTGCTGCAGTCCACGTCCAAGCTCATGACGCAGATGCGCATGGGCAAGAAGAAGCGCGCCATGCGGGGCAAGAAGCCGTCCTTCATGGTCATCCGCTTCCCCGGCCGCCGGGGCTACGGTCGCCTCCGGCCCCGGGCGCAGTCGCTCAGCAAGGCCTCCACGGCCATCAACTGGCTCACCAAGCGGTTCCTCATCAAGAAGGCCGAGGAGTCGGGCAGCGAGCAGGCCGCGGTGGACGCCTGGCTGAGCCGCTCGGGCTCCCACGTGGGCTCCCGCAAGCTGCCCTTCCCCTCGGGCGCCGAGATCCTGCGGCCGGGGGGCCGCCTGCGGAGGTTCCCGCGCAGCCGCAGCATCTACGCGTCGGGGGACCCCGTGGGCTTCCTGCCCTTCGAGGACGAGGCCCCGTTCCGGCACGCGGGCTCCCGCAGGTCGCTGTACGGGCTGGAGGGCTTCCAGGACCTGGGCGAGTACTACGACTACCACCGCGAGGGCGACGCCTACTACGACCAGCGGTCGCTCTCCCAGTACGAGGAGCAGGACCCGGGCCTGGCCCCCTATGGCCCCCCCTACGGCCCCTACGGCGCCTACGACCCCTACAGCCCCTACGACCCCTACGGCGCCTACAGCCCCTACAGCGCCTACGGTCCCTACAGCCCCGCCTGGCCGCCGTATGGAGACCACGCGCCCGGGTACCCGCCCGAGGACCCCTACGACCACTACCCCCTGGACTACTACGGCGGCCCCTACTACCCCACGTCTGCCTACGGCTACAGTTACGGCTACGAGGATCACGAGCCCCCCTACGCGCCCCCAGGGGGGTACGCGTCTCCCTACAGCTACTACGACAGCGAGCCGTACCCGCAGGGCTACTACCTGGACCCCTTTGCCCCTTTCGATGCGCCATACCTGCCCTATGACCTCCCGTACGATGTCCCCTCCTGGGAGCCCTACGGGGTGCCCTATGAGGCCCCCTATGGCCTCCCCTACGCCGAAGGCATCTATGGTGGCGGGGACCAGGCCATATACCCCCCCGAAGTGCCCTATCTGTATCCGGAGGAGCCGGCCTTTGCATACCCGTGGGTGCCACCACCCATCATGTCACCCCACAACCCCTACGCCCACCCCATGGATGACATCGCGGAGCTGGAGGAGCCGGAGGAGGCGGCCGGGGAGCGGCAGGGCACCTCCTTCCGCCTGCCCAGCTCCAGCTTCTTTGAACAGCAAGGCATGGACAAGCCCGCCAGGTCCAAGCTCTCCCTCATCCGCAGGTTCCGCCTCTTCCCGCGGCCCCAGGTGAAGCTGTTCGGGAAGGAGAAGCTGGAGGTGCCCCTGCCCCCCTCCTTGGACATTCCCCTACCCTTGGGGGAGGAGGAGGAGGAGGACGAAGAAGAGGTGCCCCCGGTGCGCACCGGGCCCTACACCCACCCCTTCTGGGGCTTCCTCACGCCGCGCCAACGCAACCTGCAGCGGGCCCTGTCGGCCTTCGGCGCCCACCGTGCCCACCGCGGCCTGGGCTTCGGCCCCGAGCTCGGGCCCCCGCGCCCGGCCACCTCGCTGGCGCGCTTCCTCAAGAAGACGCTGTCGGAGAAGAAGCCGGTCCCGCGGCTCGGCGGCAGCCAGAAGGCCCGGCGCGGCGGCCCGGCCGTCCGGGAGGCGGCCTACAAGCGCTTCGGCTACAAGCTGGCGGGCATGGACCCCGACCGGCCCAACACGCCCATCATGCTGCGCCGGACGCAGGCCCGCGCGCGCCCCCCCAGCGCCCCGCCCCGCGCCCCGCCCGCGCCCGCGCCCGCGCCCGCCCACTGGAGCGCGCTGCTCGCCCCGCCCGCGCCCCGCGCCCCCAGCCCCGCGCCCGCGCCGCCCGCGCCCTTGTCCCCCGCGCTCTCGGGCGGGCCCCGGCTCGCCTCGCCCTACGGCTCGCTCCGCCGCCACCCGCCGCCCTGGGCCGCGCCGGCGCACGTGCCGCTCCCCCCGCAGGCCGCCTGGTGGGCCTTCGCGGAGCCCCCTCCCGTGAGCCCCGAGGTGCCTCTCGACCTGCTGGCCTTCCCTGGACCCCGGCCCTCGTTCCGGGGCTCCCGCCGGCGAGGGGCCACCTTCAGCTTCCCCGGGACCTCTCCCCCGGCGTCTCGGAGGCAGGCCTGGCCCCCGCTGCCCTCTCCGCAGCCGTCGCTCCGGAGCCTGCCCGGCCTGGGCTACCGCTCCCCCTTGGGGCCTGCGTCCCCCCAGCCCTCCATGCGGGCCGGCCCCTTCCAGCCCACCTTCTCGCCCCTGCCCCGCCGCCCCCGATCGCTGCGGGAGCCCCTGTCCCCGCGCCGCGTCTCCCGGCGGCTGGGCCCCCCGCCGTCGCCCTTTCCCTCTCCTCTGCTGGGCCCCAGCCGGCGTGGCTCGCTCAACCTGCCTTCGCGCTTCCCGCACACGTGGCGCCGCCTCAGCGAGCCGCCCACCCGGGCCGTGAAGCCCAGGGTGCGCCCGCCCTTCCGGAGGTCCCTGGGCCCGCGCTCGTGGCCGGCGGCAGTGGCTGCGGCTGCGGCCGCCGCGGAGCTCCAGGAGAGCCGGCAGGAATCCGAGGACTCAGAAGTCCCCTGGACAGTGCCCCCTCTGGTCCCCAGCTGGGACGTGGACATGCCTCCGCCCCAGCGCCCATCCTCGCCTTGGCCAGGACGGGCAGGCAGCCGCCGGGGCTTCTCCAGGCCACCGCCTATACCCGAGAACCCCTTTCTCCAGCACCTGGGCCCCGGGCCATCCCGGGACTCCCCGCTGGAGGACGCAGACCCTGCCGTGACTGGCGTCTTCCTGGGGAGACACCATGACCCGGGGCCTGGAGAGCTCACCAAATCGGCCAGCCCCAGCCCTGAGAAGCCCAAAGAAGAGGCCTCCCCGAGGAATCCCCGGCCACTAGCAGAGCCTGAGCCCCCAAGCCCAGAGCCCCCCCAGAGCTCTCCCCCAGAGCAGAAGGTGCTAAGGCTCAGCCTCTCCCACCCTCTGGCCGCACGCGATAGGATGAGGGCCACCTGGCCACCATGGCGCCGCTGGGGAACACTGCCCAGTGCCCCAGCCCCCTTGAAGCCCACTGGTGCCCCAGGGCCCCTGCCCAGGGCAGGTGAGCGGCACCAGGCAGGTCCTGGGCGTCTTGCTGTTGTCCTGCCTCGGGTACAAAAATCAAGCTCTTCCCAGCACGCTGGTCCTGCCACCCTGCAGCCCCCCACCCAGCTGACCAAGGACCCAGAACCCAGCCTCAAGCCCAGAGCCTGGAGTCTGCTCTGGGCCTCTCTCTGGCTGCCAGCGGGGACCCACCGGCCCTGGCCACAAGCACCTGCCTGCCCGGCTTCCTGCTGCCTGGGCCCCGAAGCTGCCCTTCTGCCCCACGGGGGCCCCTGGGAAGAGGTTGGCCCCAAAAGCTGGTGGAACAAGGTATGGGGGCACAGGTCAGAGGGAGGCTTGGGGATTCTGTCCTGGGGAACAGGGCCCTTGTGAGCGGCTGCCTCGGCCTCAGGACCCATCTGTAACTTGGGGAGAACAGCCCCGGGCTTCCCAAGCCTCTGGAGCCCCGAACAAGGGGTGCCCAGAGCAGACAGGCACCGGGCAGAGGCACCGGAAGCACCTTCCAAGTCCCTGTGGGGAAGGGATCTTGTCCTCGCCATCCCCAGCTGCCCCCAGAGATCTGGGCTAAGGACAGAACTGCAGGACTTGTCTGCCCACCCTGACCCACCCACATTCCCATTCATACTGTTCCTCTCGCTTCCGCCCGACCCTCCCTCCTATTGGAGTCCTCGCTCTCTCTGGGGTTCCTGCATAAGGGCAGTTTCTGGGCTGCGGGATTCTAGACTATCTGAGGTGAGGGCTCAGGAACCAAACTGCCAGCCCCTTCACTGCACAGGGGATCACACAGGGGGTCAGGGCTGGCAGAGCCAGTGTGCCTCTCCAGTCTGGCCCCCGGTAGGGTGAGGGGCAGGCAGTTTTCTGAGGGGTGCCAAGCCCAGGCCTGGCTGCCATGCTCATGCTGGAATGTGAGCCCAGTGGCCCGTCAGCGAAGGGGGAGTGGTCACCGGAGCCTCCCCCGGGACGCCTGAGGCGGGCGGGACACGTAGGGGCAGCAGGCGGTTTTCAACCTATGCAGACCGGTGCCCGTGGAGCGGGCAGCCAGCGAGCCCAGCCATGGCAACCGGGGCGGCCTGGCTGCTGGGGGGACCGTGGCCCCGGCGGCGGGTGCCCAGAGCCGTGTGGGCCACAGCGTTGCGGGAGCGGGCCACTGGGCGCCCTGGGGTGAGGGGCAAGGATGCCTGGGCCCTCCTCACCCTCGAATACGTGAGTGGCTAAATTATTCAGGGTTTGCGGCCACTGGCACACATGGGCAGGCTGGTGGGCGGGAGGCCAGGGCCCAGGGTGATACTCCCCGTGGCCTACTTAGCACAGAGGTCCCCTTTCTGGTGTCCCCTTTCCTCGCCTGCTTAGGGAGGGGCGTGGGCCAGGCCGGGGAGGCTGGAAAGACAAGGCGCACGTGTGTGCTCTCAGTCACGTGGGTCACATGCATGCATGTGTGCCTGGGTGTACCACAGCCAAACAAGGAAAGCGTGTGTGCGTGTGCGTGCGCGCGCGCGTGCACCAAGGTCTAAGCAGCTGTGGCATCCGTGGGGTCCCGCGTATGCACATAGTCAGGCACAGTGGAGACCTTCAGCCCAAAGGTGGCATCGGGACTTTTGTCTCCAGACCCCAGGTGTGGGGACAGCCCAGGTGTCCATGCACATGGGAATGTGGACATTGAGAGCATGTGCCTCCAGCCAGGCAACACAGGCCTTCACACATGTCAGTAGGCATCTTGCAAGACCCAGGTGTTCATGGGAGTTGTGTGACCTGTAAATGCCGTTGCGTGTAGGTCTGTGCGTGTGGGTCTTCGTGTTTGCCCAGCCTGGGCACTGGGCATGTGCAGGGGCAGCAGTGGTCCCCAGTCTCTGCAGACTGGTGCCCGTGGAGTCTTGGCCTTCCTGGAGGCCCCATGCACCAAGATACAGATGTTCAAGTTGTCACTTGGGGTCCAACCTGAAAGGGGTGTCCGCATTGGGAGAGCTCCCGGCAAGGCAGTGGGAGCAGGGCCCACGGGCAGGACTTGGGGGCACACGGGACCACACGGGCAGAGGGCAGCCGTGTGTCCCTGACGGGCTCCACAGCCCCTGGCATTCCAAGACAAGGAGGCCCCCAGGACCCAGCTGGCTGTACTTAGGGCTCCTCCTTCACAACAGGAGCAGGTCCCAGTTGTGTCCACGCCAGGGGGCCACGCATGGGCCCCTCCCACCGGTGACCAGAGGACTCTCTCTCGTAGATGCACTCCATCCGCAACCTGCCGTCCACGCGGTTCCTGGAGCAGCACCGGGAGGACGGTGTGGAGGACATGACGCAGCTGGAGTGAGTGGTTGGATGGCAGTCGGTGAGGGGGCCTCGGGGGGTCGCCACACTCCCAGCTGGAGCACCCCCTCTTACCAGGGGTGCCTCTCATCTCCTGGAACGTGTTCAGAGCCTGTTTTCTCATCTGCAAAGTGAGAGCCATACAGTGTCACAAAAGCCAGATGCTAGCACAGCTCTGCCATCAGATGGGCCTGGGCTCAATCCCAGCCCCACCACTTAGCAGCTACAGGACCGTGGGCGAACCACTTCACCGCTCTGTGCCTCAGTTTCTCATCTGTAAGACGGGGGTGGGGGTGGGACGGCTATGGTTGTGAGTGTGCTGGTGCATTGGAGGTGCCCAAAGCGTAAGGGCTGTGCTGGTCCGTATCATTATCCAATTATGATGACTCAGCCCTCACATCTGCTACCTAAGAGCATCGCCAACCCAGTGAGTGAGGTAGGGCCAGTGCTAGTAATCATACCCATTGGACAGATGAAGAAACTGAGGCGCAGAGGTTAAGTAACTTCCCAAGGCTTCATGGTTGGTTAGTGTCAGAGATGAGACTTTTTGGCCAAGGCCCTGCACTGGGGGACAGTGGGCCCTGACTGCCCTTCTTCCTGCTTTCCCAGAGACCTCCAGGAGACCACTGTGCTGTCCAACCTCAAGACCAGATTTGAACGGAACCTCATTTACGTGAGTTGTGGGGTGGCTCTGCCCTGGGCTCGGGTCTGGCCGGCAGCTGATTCCTTGTCTCCTGGGGCCTGGTGGGTAGTATAGATGTCTCCTGCTGGGCCCCAGACTAGTGGCCGCTGGCTTCACCTCTGAGGTGTCTGCTATTTGAGCAAAACTGACTAGACCCTGGGGCCCTGACCTCCAAGGTCCTACGCGTAGAGTCTTAGAGTGGTGGGTGCCAGGGGCAGCGACCTGGAGACAGGAAGCCCAACGACAAGGCTCCCAGAGTCCTGGAGTCCAAGGCCCGGGTCCCAGGAGGGGCTGCCAAGGGGAAGATGGGAGCAGAGTGGCAGAACGGAGCCCCAAGCCACAGCGCAGGCAGCGGGGTCACCAGGAGGCCAGATACCTCCGAGCGCCCTGCACTCCCAGCCCCTGCCTCTCCAGGCAGTGGAGGTTGGCCTTACGGCGAGGCGCAGCGCCAGGAGGTAGGCCGCAGCTAACAGCCTCCTTGCAGAACCATGACTGGGGCTTCATGCTCGGCCCCTCCCAGCCTCAGCCTGGGACAGTGCTGGGAATCCCACTGCCAGAGCGAAGGACCCAGCAAGCTCTTAGAGGGCCCAAGCTTCGAACACTGAGGTTAGGCAGCCAGACATTTGTCCCCATGGGCACGGATCCAGGCTTCCAGGGGCCGGGAGGGACACAGGGCTGCGAGGAGCCACGGGCACTGAGGCCGCTGTCTGCACAGCAGACCTACATCGGCAGCATCCTGGTGTCGGTGAACCCTTACCGGATGTTCGGAATCTACGGGCTGGAGCAGGTGCACCAGTACAGTGGGCGGGCCCTGGGAGAGAACCCCCCGTGAGTACATCCTGGACTGGGCTCTCCCGGGTCTCTCTCTGAGCTTGGTGAGCTCGGGCTGCCCCTCAGCCGGCGGTCCGGGCTGACGGCAGTCGGCAGCTTAGCCCACGCTATTTCCCCCCGAGCCTGGCCATAGCCCTGCTGGGCTGGAGGCCACTGTGGCTCAGCCCTCGGGGGTGGGGTCAGGGGGCGGATATTTCCTCAAGGATGGGGGTGGAGCAGGCTTGGCTGGACAGAGATGCTGCCCCACCTGCCCTCTGGGAGGTTTGGAAGCACCCCTTCCCCCTGTCTCTCCAGGCATCTCTTTGCAATTGCAAATCTCGCCTTCGCCAAAATGCTCGATGCCAAACAGAACCAGTGCATAATTATCAGGTGAGCAGCATCATTGCGAGGTGAGCAGCAGGCCAGGCTGAGGGCCTTTGTGCATGTGTGGAGGGGACATATGGGGGCTGCTGTGGGGCCGGGGGAGGGGGCCACTCGGCTCCTCTGGGCAGCCAGCCCGCCCATGTCCTCTGTGTATGGCGGCAGCATGGGAGCCGGGAGAGGCCGTGAGCCGGCTGCAGCTCACTCTGCCCCTTTACCTGGTCAGTGGCGAGAGCGGCTCTGGAAAAACTGAGGCCACAAAGCTGATCCTACGCTACCTGGCCTCCATAAACCAAAAACGGGGCATCATGCAGCAGGTAAGTCCGCCTGTCTTCCTAGGGTCCTCAGCTAAGCACCCCTTGTGCTCCCCAAAAGATGAGATTTCTTGGCTCCACTTGGAGGTTGGGGAGGCTGAGCCCAGGGTCGCACCGAGAGTTCTCTTAGGACTTGGGGCTCTCTCTCCCCTCCCAGGGAGCACCTGTGGGGGAGCCCTCCTGGGCCCGGCTAGGGTAGAGGCCATGTGGGCAAGGGGAGTCACCCTCCTCCCTCTGCCTGGCCTCACCTTCCTGCTGTGGCACCTGGTCAGTAGTGAAGAGGCAGGAGAGGCCTGAGTGTGGGGCGGCCGTGGGGGCGGGGCCAGTAGGTGTTGGGGCGCTGAGGAGGCCTGCAGGGTTGGCGGTCTGCTCAGAGTGCAAGTCCTCAGAACCGGAGGATGTGGGAGGCTCCGGAGGACCTACTGTGTGCGGGGCCTGAGCGAGGTCTGGCGAGGCAGCAGCAGCAGCACAGACTGACTCATGTTCCCACCTCGTGGGAATGTCATGCCAGTGGAGGAGACAGAAAAATAATACACAGGTGATAAGCGTGGAGAAAGAAGCAGGGAGGAGGCTGGGACTTGGGGGGGGGAGGGGAGTTATAATTTGGAGTGTGGTAATCAGGGCAGGCCCTAGTGAGAGGAGGGAGTGGGCCCTGAGGGCCCTGAGGGGAGGAGCAGGCAGGCAGAGAAGCAAGTGCAAAGGCCCTGGGGCATGCAGGTCTGGTGTGCTCAGGACACAGCGTGGCAGCATGGAGTCCAGCTGAGGGAGGGCGGTGGCTCAGGCCAAGGAAGTAGACCCCAGGGCAGTTCAGAGGCCAGCCGGTGACTTCCTGACTCCCAGACTAAGGGACAGTACAGGCCACAGACAAGGCTGTAATAGAGGGCGCAGCCTAAGGGCCACCCCAGGCATTTGGCCTGAGCCACAGGCAGCACAGGGCTGCCACCAGCTGCTGAGCAGGGCTGCAGACAGAGGGCAATGGTGCTGTGAGGTGTCTGCTGGGCATCCACACAGACGGCAGGGGAGGTGGTGGTGTACCATGAGCCTGGAGCTCTGGGCAAAGGCCCACCAGCTCAGAACCTGACTCTCAGACTCCCCGCCCTGGGCCCATGAAGGTTTCTAAGTGGCCACAGTGACGCAGCCAGTGGCAATCTCAGCAGGTGATCTTGGGGGCATCAGGCAGAGGCTGCTCAGCCCTCGGGGTAGCAGGTCCAAAGGGTACTTCCTGGCGGGGCCCCTCTGCTGCCTACCTTGGCCTTGGCAGCCCCTCCCATCAGCCTGAGTCTCCTGGTGGCTAAGCAGACCTTCCCTCTGTGCTAGGCAGGGTTTTCCAAGCCTCTAAGGTTAGACTCCTGGGAGGACTGGCCAGGTAGGCAAACCAGTGTGCACACGACGGCCCTCCTGCGGGAGGGAGATGGCTGAGGGGCAGAGGGACTGGGATGGGTCTGGCAGAGCGCTGTCCTGCAGGCTCGGGGCGGATGCCTGAGCGTGGGCATGGCAGGTCTGCGGCTTTCTGTGCTGGCTTGAGTCTGCGAGCGGAACACCTGTGGGCTTACTTCACAGCCACTACTCACCCCTGCCTGTGGCATCGCACAGGCTGGCCTGGGCCCGTTTTAGGCATGGCGGAATCCTGGGTCTTTTTTTTTTTCAAGCACCACGTAACTACTTTATTATTTATTTCATTTTTTGTAGCTATTTCTGCTTGTGTTTTTTTTTTTAATCTTTATTGTTATGATCTCTCAATTTTTTTTGAGGGAGGAGGCAACCAAAATTTTTGATGGCCTTGTTTAAAAAAAAACTTTATTGTTGAAAGTAGTACATATGTTCCCCTTTTTCCCCCATTGACCCCCTCCAGCCCACTCCCAGCCCCCACACCGTACCTTCAACACCCTATGGTCCCTGTCCACGGGTTATGTATATATGCCTACAAAGACTTTGGTTGATTACCTCCCACCATCCACCCTCCCCCCGGCTTCCCTCCAAGATTCTGCACTCTGTTCCGTGCTTCCCTGTCTCCGGATCCACTTCGTTCATCAGTTTATTTTGTTACTTAGATTCCACATATGAGTGAGATCATGTGATACTTGTCTTTCTCTGACTGACTTATTTCACTTAGCATGATACTCTCCAGGTCTCTCCATGTTGTCTCAACGGGTAAGAGATTCTTCTTTTTTACAGCTGCATAGTATTCCATGGTGTAAATGTGCCACAGCTTTTATCCACTCATCTACTGATGGGCACTTGGGCTGTTTCCAGACCTTAGCTACTGTAAATTGTGCTGCTATGAACACAGGGGTGCACACATTCTTTCTGATTGGTGTCTCAGGTTTCTTATAATATACACTTAGAAATGGGACCACTGGGTCAGATGGCAGTTCCATATTTAATTTTTTGAGGGAGCTCCATACTGTTTTCCATAATGGCTGCACCAATCTGCATTCCCACCAGCAGTGCACTAGGGTTCCCTTTTCTCCACATCCTCGCCAGCAATTGTCGTTTGTTGATTTGTTGATAGTAGCCATTCTGACAGGTGTGAGGTGATACCTCATTATCGTTTTAATTTGCATCTCTCTGATGATCAGTGACCTTGAGCATTTTTTCATGTGTCTCTTGGCCATCTGTATGTTCTCTTTGGAGAAGTATCTATTTAGGTCCTTTGCCATTTTTTAATTGGATTGTTTGTTTTCCTTCTTTAAGTTGTATGAGTTCCTTATATATTTTGGAAATTAACCCTTTATCAGATGTATCATTGCCAAATAAGCCTCCCATGCAGTGGGCTTTCTTGTTGTTTTGTTGATGGTTTCTTTTGCTGTGCAGAAGCTTTTTATTTTGATGTAGTCCCATTTGTTTTTCTCTTTAGTTTCCTTTGCCCTAGGATGTATCCATAAACATATTGCTGCGAGAGATGTCTGAGATTTTGCTTCCTATGGTTTTTTCTAGGATTTTTATGGTTCCACAACTTACATTTAAGTCTTTCATCCATTTTGAGTTTATTCTTGTGTATGGTGTAAGTTGGTCTAGTTTCCTTTTCTTTTCTTTTTTTTTTTGCATGTATCTGCCCAATTTTCCCAACACCATTTATTGAAGAGACTCTCTTGACTCCATTGTATGCTCTTACCTCCTTTGGCAAATATTAATTGAGCATAATGGCTTGGGTCGATTTCTGGGGTCTCTGTTCTGTTCCATTGATCTATATGCCTATTCTTGTGCCAGTACCAGGCTGTTTTGATTACAGTGGCTTTGTATTATAACTTGATATCTGGTATTGTGATTCCTCCAACTTTGTTCTTCTGTCACAAGATTGCTGCAGCTATTCAGGTCTTTTTTGGTTCCATATAAATTTTTGGAGTGTTTGTTCTAGATCTGTGAAATATGCTGCTGGCATTTTAATAGGGATTGCATTGAATCTGTAGATTGCCTTGGGTAGTATGGATGTTAATTTTAATGATGTTAAGTCTACCCATCCATGAACACGGTATATTCTTGCACTTGTTTATGTCTTCCTCTACCTCTTTTTTCAACGTCCTGTAGTTTTCTTAGTACAAGTCTTTTATCTCCTTGGTTAAATTTTTTCCTAAGTATCTTATTTTATTGTTGTTGTTGCAATGGTAAATGGGATTGTTTGTTTAGTTTCTCTTTCTGAGAATTCATTATTGGTGCATAAAAAAGCCATTGGTTTTTGGGTGTTGATTTTGTATCCTGCTACATTGCTTTTATCATGTTGAGATATTCTCCCTCTATTCCCACTTTGCTGAGAGGTTTTTTTTAATCAAAAATGGGTGTTGGATTTTGTCAAATGCATTTTCTACATCTATTGATATGATCATATAATTTTTGTCTTTCAATTTGTTTATGTGATTTATCACGTTAATTGATTTGCGAATATTGTACCAGCCTTGCATCCCTGGAATAAATCCCACTTGGTCATGGTGTGTGATCTTTTTAATATGTTGCTGGGTGTGATTTGCTAATATTTGTTGAGGATTTTAGCATCTATGTCCATCAGGGATATTGGCTTGTAATTCTCTTTCTTTGTAGTGTCTTTATTTGGTTTTGGAATTAGGATAATGCTGGCCTCAGAAAAAGAGTTTGGAAGTGTTCCTTCCTCTTGGATTTTCTGAAATAGTTTGAGGAGTATAGGTGTTAGTTCTTCTTTGAATGTTTGGTAAAACTCCCCTGTGAAGCTGTCTGAACCCGGGTTTTTGTATGCTGGGAGTTTTTTGATTACTGCTTCTATTTCATCAGTTATTGGCGTACTCAGGTTCTCTGATTCTTCCTGATTCAGTTTTGGGAGATTGTATTTTTCTAGGAATTTGTCCATTTCATCCACATTGTCCAGCTTGTTGGCATATAGTTGTTCATAGTATTTTCTTACAATCTTTTGTATTTCTGTGGTGTCAGTCATTACTTCTCCACTTTCGTTTCTGATTTTATTTATTTGGGTCCTCTCTGTTTCTTGTTGAGTCTGGCTAACAGTTCATCAGCTTTGTTTATCCTTTCAAAGAACCTGGTCTTGGTTTCATTTATTATTATTACTTTTTTAGTCTCTGTCATTTATTTCTGCTCTAATCTTTATTATTTCCTTCCCTCTACTTACGCTGAGCTTTTCTTTTTCTCGTTCTAGTCCTTTAAATTGTAGGGTTAAATAGTTTTTTTTTTTTAAATAAATTAATTAAATCTTTATTGTTCAGATTATTACATTTGTTCCTCTTTTTTCCCCCCATAACTCCCCTCCTCCCAGTTCCCGCCCCACCCTCTGCCCTCACTCCCCACCCACTGTCCTCATCCATAGGTGCACGATTTTTGTCCAGTCTCTTCCCGCATCTCCCACACCCCTTTCCCCCCCAAGAATAGTCAGTCCATTCCCTTTCTATGTCCCTGATTCTATTATAATCACCAGTTCATTCTGTTCATCAGATTATTTATTCACTTGATTCTTAGATTCACTTGTTGATAGATGTGTATTTGTTGTTCATAATTTGTATCTTTACCTTTTTCTTCCTCTTCCTCTTCTTAAAGGATTTTCAGCATTTTATATAATCCTGGTTTGGTGGTGATGAACTCCTTTAGCTTTTCCTTATCTGTGAAGCTCTTTATCTGACCTTCAATTCTGAATGATAGCTTTGCTGGATAAAGTAATCTTGGTTGTAGGTTCTTGGTATTCATCACTTTGAATATTTCTTGCCACTCCCTTCTGGCCTGCATAGTTTCTGTTGAGAAATCAGCTGACAGTCGTATGGGTACGCCCTTGTAGGTAACTGACTTTCTTTCTCTTGCTGCTTTTAAGATTCTCTCTTTGTCTTTGCTCTTGGCATTTTAATTATGATGTGTCTTGGTGTGGTCCTCTTTGGATTCCTTTTGTTTGGGGTTCTCCGCGCTTCTTGGACCTGTAAGTCCATTTCTTTCACCAGGTGGGGGAAGTTTTCTGTCATTATTTCTTTAAATAGGTTTTCAATATCTTGCTCTCTCTCTTCTTCTGGCACCCCTATAATTCTGATGTTGGTACGCTTGAAGCTGTCCCAGAGTCTCCTTACACTATCCTCGCATTTTTGGATTCTTTTTTCATTTTGCTTTTCCGGTTGGGTGTTTTTTGCTTCCTCGCATTTCAAATCATTGACTTGATTCTTGCGCTCCTCTGGTCTGCTGTCGGGAGTCTGTATAATATTCGTTATTTCAGTCCGTGTATCGGGTTAAATAGTTTATTGTAAATTTTTCTTCTTTGTTGAGGTGGGCCTGTAGGCTATGACCTTCCCTCTCAGGACTGCTTTTGCTGTTTCCCAGAGATTTTGGGTTGTTGTGTGTTCATTTTCATTTGTTTCCAGAAAGCTTTTATTTCTTTCTTGATCTCGTTGGTAACCCATTCATTGTTTAATAACACGCTATTTAGCCCCCATGTGCTTGGATGTTTTCACTGTAGTTGATTTTTAATTTTATTCCATTGTGATCTGAGAAGGTGCTTGATATGATTTCAATCTTCTTGAACTTGTAGAGGCTTGTTTTGTGTCCTAACATGTGGTCTATCTTTGTGAATGATCCATGTGCCCTTGAGAAGAACGTATATTCTGCAGCTTTGGGGTGAAATGCCCTATAAATGTCAATTAAATCCATCTGATCCAGTGTGTCCTTTAGAGTCTCTGTTTCCTTGTTAATTTTTTGTCTGGAAGATCTATCCAGTGAAGTCAGAGGGGTGTTAAAGTCCCCTACTGTGACTGCATTGTTGTCTGTCTCTCCGTTAAAGTCCTCTAGAAGTTTTTCTGTTTGTTTGTTTTGTTTTAATATATTTAGGTGCTCCTATATTGGGTGCATATATGTTTGCTAGGGTTCTATCCTCTTGTTGGATCGATCCCTTTAGTATTACGTAGTGACCTTTGTTGTCTCTTGTGATGGCCTTCATTTTAAAGTATTTTATCGGATATGATTGCTACTCCAGCTTTTTAAAATTTTCTATTTGCATGGAACATTTTTTCCATCCTTTCACTCTCATCCTGTGTGTGTCTTTTGTTCTGAGGTGGGTCTCTTGTAGACAGCATACAGTTGGGTCATGTTTTTGGATCCATTCAGCTACCCTATGCTTTTTTTAAATTTTATTTTATTTTATTTTTTTTATTGCTTAAAGTATTACAAAGAGTATTACATAGGTCTCTTTTTTTACCCTATGCTTTTTGATTGGGACATTTAATCCACTTACATTCAGGTTATGACTGATAGCTAGTTTATTGCCATCTTAATTCTGCATGCCTAGGTCTCTCTCTCTCCTTCTCATTACAGCGTCCCTTTAGCATTGCTTGTAAAGCTGTCTTAGTGGTGATGAACTCCTTTAGTCTTTTTTTTTTTTTTTCCTTTGGTCTGGGGAGCTCTTTATTTCACTGTCTATTTTGAGTGATAGCCTTGCTGGATATAGTAATCTTGGTTTTAGATCCGTGCTTTCCATTACCTTGAGTACGTCATGCCATTCCCTTCTGGCCTGTAGACTTTCTGATGAGAAATCAGATGACAGCCTTATCAGAGCTTCTTTGTAGGTAACAGTTTGCTTTTTTCTTGCCGCCTTTACGATTCTCTCTCTGTCTTTAATTTTTGGCATTTTAATTATGATGTGTCTGGGCCTAGGCCTGGGCCTGTTTGGGTTCTTCTTGCTTGGGACTCTCTGTGCCTCCTGAACTTGTGTGACTTTTTCCTTCACCAGATTAGGGAAGTTGTCTGCTATTATTTCTTCAAGCACGCAGAATCCAAGGTCTTAACCAATGTCCCCTGTCCTGGCTCCACCCTCCCTTAGTTATGGGTGTCATCCTCAGCCAGTCTCCCATTGGACAGCAAGATGGTGCCATGAACCTCAACCCACACCTCCCAACAAGCCAGAAGAAGTCTCAGGCCTCTCCCTTGTTGGGCAGGTTTTGCCGTGTGTTCTTACTGGACCCTGTCATGCTCAGGCTTCACTGGCTGAGGCCTGGGCCACAGGGCTGAGAATATGACATGGAAATCCCACGATGGGGATTGGCTGGACCCTCTGCACCCCAAACCACAGGCACCACATGGCCAGATGTTTACCCACCTGATTTACCTGTCCTTGCCCCTGGTCGCTGGCCATGTGCCCCAGCCCTGCAGTGGGCACTAGGAACAGAAAAGCAGCTGACCCACCCTCATGTGCCCTCAGGGAACTCCCAGACTAAGGGGTAGCACAGGTCACAGCCCAGGCAGACCCTGACTCACTGAGCAACCCCAGGCTGGCCTCTGCTCCTCTCTGGGCCTCAGTCTACTCCTCTGTACAATGGGCACAATATTTCCTAGACTAAGCGGAACTATGGGAGTGACCAGATGGAGGGACTCACACTTTCCCCATGGAAGCTGAAATTTTAGTGCGGGAGACAAGATACAAAGAAATGAGAGAACTTGCCAATGGTGCTAAGAGCTACAGAGGGAGAATTCCCGTGCTCAGCGGCAGGAGTGTGCCTGAGTGTTGAGGGCACAGTCAGAAGGGCCAGGTGCTGGGCAGAGCAAGGGAGGGGAGATGAGGCCAGCGAAGGTTGGGCTGTGTAGAGTCTTGGAGATCACTGTGAGGACTTGGCTTTGAGCCTGAGGGAGAAGGTGACCTATGCAGGTTTTCAAACAACCCCTGGAGGGAGCACAGACAGGATCAGGGAGGAGACTCTTCCAGGAACCCAGATGACCCATGGCTGTGAAGGGACGGGGAGAGGACATCCCAGAACCTTCTGGCCAGTAGGCCCAGCAGACACCCACATCTGGAGCTACACTGCAGTCCCCAAGACCAGACCCCTGGGGGTGTCTGGGGTTCATGACTGTACTCTTACCTGGTGGCTCTTCTGGCCGCCACAGGGGCCCAAAGGGCTCTTCCAGCCCCTCTGTGGCCGGAGGCCCCTGGTGTTGCGGGGGGAATGGTGGTCAGTCCTACAGGTGACCTTCTTCTGTTCTTGTTCCTTTCGCCGCCTCCTCCCGACCGACTGCTCCTGAAGATAAAGGTATTTGGAGTGCGTGAGTGTGTGTACGTGCTCCAGCCTCTGTGACATGCACCTGTGGGTGTGCATGTGTGTGCACGCGTGTGCGATAGCAGGATTGGTCAGAAGCCGTGTCTCACACCTGTCCTGGCCAGGGCTGCCTCACGGGAGGCCGAGGCTGGGAGGGCGGAGTTGGGGTCTGTGTGTAGGGTCTGGGCCGCATGAGGTGGGAGCATTGAGGGAGACCAGGAAGACCCCGGGGTTCTCTAGGGAGCCCACCTCTGGTCGCCCCTCACTAACGGGGTGTTTGGGGAGGTCTGTGTCTGGGAAATCCTGGGGTGGCCCCCACCATGCTCCTCGCTCTAGGCGGCCGGAATAATACCCGCCTCTTCTGGGGTCTAGATCCTGGAGGCCACACCCCTCTTGGAGTCCTTCGGTAACGCCAAAACTGTGAGGAATGACAATTCCAGCCGCTTCGGGAAGTTTGTGGAGATCTTTCTGGAAGGGTGAGTGGGACGTGGAGGAGCCCCCAGAGGCCCTGCCGTGCACCCCATGTCCTGGCACAGCCCGCGGAGCCCACAGCGGCCCCGTCGCCCTGCCACGGACTGCCAGGCTTAGCTGCGCATGCTCCCCACACAGGGGCGTGATCTCTGGTGCCATAACCTCCCAGTACCTGCTCGAGAAGTCCAGGATTGTGTTTCAGGTGGGCCAGGCCGCGGGACAGGGTGTGTGTGTGTGTGTGTGTGTGTGTGTGTGTGTGTGTAGATACTCAGAGCCCGGCATCTGGCCAGGCTGGGTAAAGGGTGAATTAATGAACAAATGCACGTGTATGTGTGAGCATGTGACCGAACACCCCCCCCCGCCCCGCCCTGCAGCTACATTGGCCCTTCCCTGTCCCTGAAGCACGCCAGGCCCGACCCTGCCAGGCCCCTGCACTGACTGCTCCTTCTCCCGGAGCGCTCTCCCCACACCTGTGTGGCCGCCCACCTCCTCCCGTTTGACAGTGAGCTCCCATCCCTGCACTGCGCTGTCTCCCAGAGCGCTCCTCACCACCTGACATGTTTTATGTTTTAACCAGTGATTTGCAGAGTATCTGTCTCCCAGCTGGCAGGTGGGTCCATGAGGCCAGGGACTTCTGTCTGCCTTGTCCTCGCTGTGTCCCAGGGCCTGGAGCAGGGCCAGGCGCCCAGTGGGTGCTCAGCCACCCTGGCTAAATGAGCCGTCGGAGGCCTATGTCTGCTCCTGGGACATAGGCATGCATGGGTGTGTGTGGCCAGCACACAGGCGAGAGCAGCACCTTTCTCTTATGAAATGCTGCCCAGGGCCCCTCCCCACCACCACCCCCTCCCTGCTCCCAGGCAGAGCCAGGCTGGGTGCTCACTCAGCACAGGGGACAGGCCCCACCTGCAGGCCTGGGTGTGTTTTTATATTGGTGGGCACACCTGGGCCTGTCTGTGTGTGGGGGTCGCCTAGGTGGGCAGCTCCCCTCTCGGCACTCACACACCCACTCTGCAGGCCAAAAACGAGAGGAACTACCACATCTTCTACGAGCTGCTGGCTGGGCTGCCTGCCCAGCTCCGGCAGGCCTTCAGCCTGCAGGAGGCTGAGACCTACTACTACCTGAACCAGGTGAGCACCAGCAGGCCTCCGAGGCTCCCCAGGCCTGGTCCCCCCTCATTACCCCAGAGTGCTGAAAGAGCCAAGTCGTGGTGCCCTGGTGTCCAGCAAAGATGATGGAGGTTTGGGAGGGCAAGTTTGGATGTGAGGCGTCTCATCATGGCACGTGGACAGGGGTCAATCTAGGGTAGAGGAGGCCTACATGATTCTTCGTTGTTCTGGAGACTACAACAGAAATAAGTAGCCTGGAGCTACTATACTTCCCCTCTAGTGCCTCAGTGTCCTCATCTGTAAAATGGGGATAGCACAGTATCACTGCCAGGGACATGGTGAGGATTAAAGGAAGGAAATGTATGCAAAGCACTTAGCACAGTACCCGCTCAGAGACTCCTGGCCCGTGGGAACGAAAGTGCTGAGTGCCATGTTGCAGGTGCAGACAGAGCAGGGACAGTCAGGGCTCCTGGCGCCACCCAGGGTCCCTGACCCCTGGCCCTGCCCTCGCCTAGGGTGGGAACTGTGAGATCTCGGGAAAGAGTGACGCAGATGACTTCCGCCGGCTCCTCGCTGCCATGGAGGTGCTGGGCTTCAGCGGGGAGGACCAGGACAGCATCTTCCGCATCCTGGCCTCCATCCTGCACCTGGGCAACGTCTACTTTGAGAAGTATGAGGTGAGAGGAGGTCCCAGCCGCCATCCCGGCTCCCTTGGGCACAGGCGTCTTTCCTAGGAGTGCTCTGGGGAGACAGAACGTGTCTGTATCTGCCTTTCAGGCGGCACCAACACATACCAATCGCTCTTTTCCCCTACACTTTGAGGTTGTTTGTCTTTTTATTATTATTTTAATTGACTTTAGAGAGAGGAAGGGAGAGGGATAGAAACATCAATGATGAGAATCATTGATCAGCTGCCTCCTGCACGCCCCCTACGGGGATCGAGCCTGCAACCTGGGCATGTGCCCTGACCAGGAATCAAACAGTAACCTCCTGGTTCATAGGTCGATGCTCAACCACTGAGCCACAGCGGCCAGACCATCTTTTTATTATTGATGTATGTATGATGTACATATGTTAAGGAAATAAGCCTTTGTCTTTGATGTGAATTGTAAATATGTCTTCCGGTTTATCATACATATTTTGACTTTATTTACAGGAATCTTGGTGTTTTGTTTTGTTTTTCGTGGTTGTTGTTTGTTTGCTTTGGCATTTCAGATTTTTAAAATTATTTTCAGGAATTTCATTAATCTTTTGTATAAATTTTAGAGGTTTTTTTTTATCATTTTTAAAGAGACCTGTCTCTCTTAAATTATAAGTTTCGCCCATACTTTTTTCAAGTTCTTTTATGGCTTTCACAGTTTGTTTTTTTAACGTTTAAATTTTGATCCATCAGGAATTTATCTTAGTAAGGTATGAGGCAGGCATCCAATTTCTTTTTTTTCCGCAGGCAATTACTTAATTATACTAACTCCACCACTTGAAAAGTAAATATTTGTCATATACTAAATTCCTATGTGTATTTATGCCGAATTCCAGACCTCCTATTGTGCTTCATTAATCTGCTTACATGCTACATGTCTGTTACCTGTTTTAATTATCGTAACTTTGAAATATGTTTAACCATCTCCTAGGTCCCCCTGCACTCCTATTTCAGAATTTTCCTGGCTCTTCTAGCTTGTTTATGTTTTTTTATATGAATTATAAAATCTACTTGTTTAGCTCAAAATACAGTCCTGTGGGTGTTTTACACAGACAGATGCACAGGAGGTGGCCTCGGTGGTGAGCGCCCGGGAGATCCAGGCCGTGGCCGAGCTGCTGCAGATCTCCCCTGAGGGGCTCCAGAAGGCCATCACCTTCAAAGTGACCGTGAGTCTCGGGCCTGGGGGTCTGTCCAAGCCCCCGCCGCTTTGTGCCCCCTCTGTGGGCCCTCTCTCCCCTCCCTTCTCCTCCCTGTCCATCCCTCTTCTGAGCCAGGCCTGGAGGGGTTAACCTCAGACCCCACCGGCATTGGATGCCCAGTCTCCAGGCCTTTGCATTGGCTGTTTCCTCTGCCCGGAGACCCAGCACAGCTGTCCACCTCCAGGGACCTAGCTGTTCCTGACCCCTGGCCGAGCTGGTGCCTCCTCTGGCCTCCCCCAGCCCCTGGCACTCCTTCCCCTCCCAAGGCTGGTCTTGCTGCATCATGTTTGCTTATGTCTCTGCCTCTCCCACTGGACTGGTAGCCCCCACCCCGACCAGCACAGCCAGGCAGGAGGGGGGTTGAGGGCCTTGTGTTTCAACCTCTGGCCTACTGTCAACCTCAGACCAGTCACCCCATTTCCATTCCCCACCCAACCCCCAATCCTCGGAGGACTTCCTGGAGGTGGTGGCCAGCCTGCTGTCGCTCAGGGGCCATGCTCCTCCCTAGGAGACAATTCGAGAGAAGATCTTCACCCCCCTGACTGTGGAGAGTGCCGTGGATGCCAGGTGAGGCCGCACCCTCCCCCCCGAGCCCCCCGGTGGCTAGGCCCCACGGTGCCCACCCCCTCACCGTCTCTGCTCCAGGGATGCCATCGCCAAGGTCTTGTATGCGCTGCTGTTCGGGTGGCTCATCACCAGGGTCAACGCGCTGGTATCCCCCCAGCAGGACGCACTGTCCATCGCCGTCTTGGACATCTATGGCTTCGAGGTGGGGCTCCTGAGCGGGCGAGGGGCGGGGCATGAGGCTTCATGTCTCACCTCTGCCTAGAGCACAGCCATTCTTCGTTCAGGGCCCCTCGTCTTCTACAGTGTCCTTCCCTCACCCACAGGCCTGTGGGTGCCAGGCTGTGAGCTGGGCAACCTGGGGACCCTGGAAAGGACCAGACCTGGGCTCTGCCCTTGGAGGCACTGGGTGGGCATGGGGGACAGAAATCGGCAAACCCATGTGGTCAGAGCCGTAACAGTCAGCCTGGCGCTGGTAGAGCCAGAGGAAACCTTAGCGGGCAGGGGCCAGGGAGGTCTTCCTCAAAGGGGAGACGTGCTGAGCTATCTCCTCAGGAACCAGGGAGGCGGGGGAGTGGCCCGCGGTGTGGGGGCCTGGGTCTGGGGAGCGGAAGGCATCTGCAGGGGCGGGAGGGGCGCCGCTGTGCTGAGTGCACAGTGCGGGGGTTGGGGTGAGACAGGCAAGACCCTAGAAAGAAACGTGCTGGCGAATACTCACGCAGCACCTGTTGTGTGCCAGCGGCTGTTCCAAGTGCGTTATGTCTAACGATTAATCCTTACAACCACCTTATGATGTGGGCTTGTCATTATCCTTGTTTTACAGATGGGGAAACTGAGGTACAGGGGGCTTGTCCAAGGCACATGGTTAGAAAGATTGGAACCTGGAAGAAGGTTCCAAAGCCTGGGCCGTTATTTCTTTAAATAATTTCATTGATTTCAGAGAGGAAGGGAGAGGGGGAGAGAGAGAGAAACACCAATGATGAGAGAGAATCATTGATCAGCTGCTTCCTGCACGCCCCCCACTGGGGATCAAGGCCACAACCCGGGCATGTGCCCCTGACCACAATCGAACCCGGGACCCTTTAGTTGGCAGGCTGACGCTCTATCCACTGGGCCACACTGGCCAGGGTGCAGAGCCTGGGCCTTTAACCACAGCCGAGCTGCCTCTCACTGGGCCCAGCCTGCCAGGCTTCCTTCTGCCTGTGCACAGCGGCAGCCACAGAGGGTGCTGAGCAGGGCCTGTGGTCAGGCTCCCGCGTCCTGAAGCTGCGACCACAGAAGGCAGGGAGGGCACTGCACCTGAGCTGGGGGGGCGGGGGGGGGGGCGGGGGGCAGGGCCTGGGAGGGGACAGATGGGCTGAGGCCCTCACCACCTGCCTCACAGGACCTGAGCTTCAACAGTTTTGAGCAGCTGTGCATCAACTATGCGAACGAGAACCTTCAGTACCTTTTCAACAAGATCATCTTCCAGGAGGAGCAGGTGTGCAGGGCTCGGTCGGACCCTCCCCCCCATCCTCGCGGGCCCTGGGCCTCCTCAGTGACCAGCAGGACATGCTGGCTCGTTAAGGGCAAGTCGGAGGTTGTCAGGAGACCAAGTGGAGGGAAAGGCACGGGAAGCTTCACCAGTGCACGAGAGGCCCGTGTTCTTGAGGGGAAGGTGTTGGGGGGAAGAGCCCGCTTGGGGATCCTCTTCACCCTCCACAGAGCTGTCCTAGGTGGAGGGAGGAGAAGGCCCAGCAGTGGTTCATGTGGCCTGCTAGGAAGTGAGCTCCCTGTGCTAGGAGGTGTGCAAGCAGAGGTGCCCCAGGCCAGGCCCTGTCGGATGGATTCATCCGGGGAGACAGTCGGGGACCTGGGCAGGAGCAGGAGCTGAGCCCTGCTGCCCGCAGGAGGAGTACCTCCGCGAACAGATCGACTGGCGGGAGGTGGCCTTCGCTGACAATCAGCCCTGCATCAACCTCATCTCGCTGAAGCCCTACGGCATCCTGCGCATCCTGGATGACCAGTGCTGCTTTCCCCAGGTGAGCCCGGGGCGCCGCGTGGGCTGGTCAGGCTGCTCCACGCCTCTGAGCCTCGTGTCCTCATCAGGCCTGAGCCCTACACTCCTCTCTGCTCTGGCCTGGGATGGGGCTCAGGACAGCCAACCTGCCATTCACAACCTGGATAGGGGGCTGCAGCTGTCCACTCGAGGGGCTACACCAGCCATGGGAATCCTAGAAGGCTTCATGGAGGAGATGACCTTGGGGTTGGGCCTCACATACTGACTGGAAAACACAAGGGTGGGCTGGCAGTGGGACAAGAGGGTGCAAAGTCAGCTGGGCTGGAGGGGCGGCAGCTGGGAGCTAACCAGACGCACCTGTCTGCAGAGATCCGCTCCGGCCTCCCGCCCAGGGCAGTGGGCGGCCAGGGGGAAGCTGTGACTTGTTCCTCCTCCCCAGCGATCACTGCAGATCAGTCAGGGCTGGAGAATCTGCCACTAGGCCAGGAACAGGGTGCCCGGCCCCTGCCCCCCCACTGAACCCTGCCTGCCCCCAGGCCACAGACCACACATTTCTGCAAAAGTGCCATTACCACCATGGCGCCAACCCGCTCTACTCCAAACCCAAGATGCCATTGCCCGAGTTCACCATCAAGCACTACGCAGGCAAAGTCACCTACCAGGTGAGACCCCAGGCCGCCCTCATGGCCTCCAGCGCCACAGGGCCCTGATGTTGGAGGCACAGAAGCGCAGCCTGGGCTCCAGACACTCCCACCCGATTCCAGGTCTGGCCCTGCTGACCCTCGGCCATGTAATCTTGGCCCAATCTGTACCTCTTGGAGCCTCAGTTTCCTCACCTGGAAAATGGGGATAAAAACAGGGTCCATCTCATGGGTGTGAGAAGCCTAGGGCTCGGGTGGGTTTGATGAAGAGTAGCTATTGTCAGTAACAGGTCACCGGGGTAACTCTCATTGCTCCTATCTCGGGCACATTCCTGCCCTGGCATTGTCTTGGGCCAAGATTCCAAGCCTCTGTCCCCATCTGGGCCGCATTTCCCTCATCTGCAGGACACGCACAGGACAGTGTCCTCCACTGAGGATGGGGCCAAGACCAGGGCTAGTCATGCGAAGGGCGCCAGTCCTGGGAGTGGGGAGGGTTGTGGGGACAGGAGGGGTGAGGACCATAGCCGGGGGAGGGGTCCAGTCCCTTCCAGGACAGACAGGGAGACAGTGGGCTGGAGGTGCAGGGCCAGGGTCACCCGAGGGCTGCAGCGAGGAAGGAAGAAGATGGTAGTAGGCGGCTGACACACCCAGGCTGCGTGGGGGAAGGACTCCAGCCCCAGCTGCCCGGCCATCCCCCTTCCCAGGTGCACAAGTTCCTGGACAAGAACCATGACCAGGTGCGTCAGGACGTGCTGGACCTATTTGTTCGGAGCCGGACACGGGTGAGCAAGCCTCCCCTCCCCGGTCCTGGCCCTGCCCCAGAGCACCCAGCCCACAGCCAGGCCATTGTCCGCCAAGAAAAGGGGAGGTACCCTAGTTCCATCCCAACCCTAACCCCACACCCATCCAGCCTTGCCTTGCTCTGTACTTTCTCCCGTTCCTGGCCCCGCCCCGTAAAGGACTATGCCCCTGGCTGGCCCCCAGGTCTCTCCCCTGCCTCATCCCGGTCAGCCCGCCCAGCCTGGGCCCATCCCCACCTCCATCTGCTTGATGAGTGGTTCTCCCATCCGTATTCTCTGGGACTCCATTTCCTCATCTGTCAAATGGGCACCCTCCTCCTGCGGTCACCCTAGGGTTCACGACCATGCGCCCAGTTAGTGCCCATGTGTCCCCCAGAAAAAGAAGTCAGCTGACCCCGGGGCCGGTCCCTTGGGTTAGTTTTCTGGTGCTTCTTGGTCTGGAGACTTGACTCCTTTTGTTCTCTCGCTTTCTCTCTCCCTCTTCGTTTCTCTCCTTGTCTGTCTCTTGGTTCCTACCTCCCTCTTGGTGCTTTGGCTACTGCCCTGGGCTGCTGCCCATGCCTGCCCAGGTGGTGGCCCGCCTCTTCTCCAGCCATGCCCCCCAGGCTGCCCCTCAGCGCCTGGGCAAGAGCAGCTCCGTCACCCGCCTCCACAAGGCCCACACCGTGGCAGCCCAGTTCCAACAGTCGCTCCTGGATCTGATCGAAAAGATGGAGAGGTGGGCGTGGCCGGTGGGCGGGACCCTCCGGCCCTCGGGATAAGCACTTCCTTCCCTGGGGCCTCACGCTGCCTCCCCTGCCCTTGACCAGGTGTAACCCCTTGTTCGTGCGCTGCCTGAAGCCCAATCACAAGAAGGTGCGTGATGGCCGAGTCCTCGGGGAGCAGCCCTCTCCCCGCGCTCACGCGCGGCCCGCCCACCACGGCGACTTGGCGTTGCCAGTGCCCTTTGCACATGGCGGGTCCTCCCCACAGGAGCCAGGCCTCTTTGAGGCAGATGTGGTCATGGCGCAGCTGCGCTACTCCGGGCTGCTGGAGACCGTGCGGATCCGCAAGGAGGGCTTCCCGGTGCGGCTGCCTTTCCAGGCGTTCATCGACAGGTAGCCCAGGCGCCGCCGTGGCTCCACAGGCCCCGGCAGAGCAGGGCTTGCCGTGCACAGCTGCGCGGGTTGTGCACAGACCACATGCCAGCTGTTTGGCATATGTATTGGTCGTTGTGCAGTTTTTCACAGTTTCACTGTGTTGATTCCAAAGAGAAACGTTTTTAATCGTGATTATGACAAGCTTCCAGCGGATGGCAGTAGGGGTCTTGTTCTGCTGAATCCCTTTCCGCAGTCCTGGCACCTAGAGTTAGGGAGGGAGTGCCCCTGACCGGAAGACACTGGGTGGAGCCCCTGCGGTGGGCCTCCTGGAGGCGGTGGGGTGCTGAGGCAGCCTGGCGGGCGGCCCGGGCAGCAGGTCCCCAGCCCCAGCTGAATTTGGGCCCTGCAGGTACCGCTGTCTGGTGTCCCTTGAGCACAACCTGCCAGCCAGTGGGGACATGTGTGTGTCCGTGCTGAGCCGCCTGTGCACAGTCCTGCCAAACATGTACCGCGTTGGCGTCAGCAAGGTGAGTCCCCCCCCCCCCCACATGCAGTCCCTGGAGGGCTCAGGCTCAGGGGCTTCAGGACCGACCCGTGGGCTCAGGACTGTCCCCAAGGCAGTCCAGTGGAGCTGGGTGAACGGAATGCCAACCCCACTCCGGACCTTGCTCAGGCCGCTCCCGCTGCCTAATGCGCCCTCAGCTTGCTTCCATCTCTCCAAACCCAACCCCCAACAGCCCTGGCTGTTCTGTCTCCATGGACTTCTGGAGAGGGAGGGCCTGCGTCCAGTCGCTGCCCTACCGGCTCAGCACCTGCCTCCTCTGCCCAGCTCTTCCTTAAGGAACACCTCCACCAGCTCCTGGAGAGCATGCGGGAGCACGTCCGGAACCTGGCAGCCCTCACCCTGCAGCGCTGCCTCCGCGGCTTCTTCATCCAGCGCCGTTTCCGCTCCTTACGCTGCAAGATCATTCTGCTGCAAAGCCGAGCCCGAGGCTACCTGGCCAGGTGCAGCCACTAGGCAGGACTAGGGAGCCCTAGACGAGGCTTGGGAGAGGCTATGCCTGAACTTAGGTGGTCAGCTCCCTGTTCCTGGAGGTATGCAAGCTGAGGTGGGAGCCTCTGCTGGAAGGATGATCAGATTCTCTGTGTTTCTGCTTTTGGATGCCCTTCCGTCCCATCCTCTGGCCCTTGTAACTGGTGGGTGGGAATCCATCCAGCCAAGAAGGACCCCACCCTGCATCTCAGGGACCCTGGGATTCCAACCTAATGGGATCTATGTGGTCCAAGTGGTTGAATCCGGGCTCGGACCTTAGCCACGTCCTTGCCTCCCATTGAGCTCCTTTCCTTAGTGCCAAAGGGCCCCAGAGTGAAGTGTGGCACCAAGGCCAGGCTGGCACAGGTATCGCTGCCCCTTGTTTATCCATGACCCCCTCCCCCCCCCCCCCCACCACGACACTCCTTTCCTCCCTACCGGCAGGCAACGGTATCAGCAGATGAGGAAGAGTCTGGTGAAGTTCCGGTCCTTAGTGAACACATACGTGAGCCACCGGCGCCACCTCAAGGTTCAGACCTTCCCCTAGCCCTTCTCCCGGAGCCAGGCCTGTCCTGTCTGGGTCCAGGGAGTGGCAGAGATGGGGAGGGGGCACTTAGCTCCCAGGAGGAGGCTGTCTTGGGTTCAAATCCCCGCTCTGCCACTCACTAGCTGTGTGATCTCAGCCCCTCTCCAGCCTGACCTCCCATCTTCCCCTGAGGCTGCAGAGGGTGAAATGAATATTGCACTGAAGGGCGTCCTGGTTCTGGGCTCACTGTGGGTCTTCAGTAATTGGGTCCAATTAGAATTTTGCACCTGGACCAGCACTGAATACGGTTTGCTCGTACCTTGATGCCAATCTTGGCCTGTTGTCACATAAACCAACACCAGACAAATGTAACGCCGAGCACCCAAGAACTGCACGGCTGTTCCTGAAGGTTCTGTGGGTGACGGGCCGTCTGCCTTTCCCAGGGTGACTCCTCTGCCCTTTGCCTTGCCTCTTTCTTGCTCTCTCTTTCTTCCTTGCCTTCCTGTTTCTCTGGCCACCCCTCTGCCTCCCTCCATCTGTGAGGTGCAGTCGCCTCCAGAAATCAGGCAAGCTGACCCCTTGCTTCCCTGCTGGCCGCCCTGTGTGAGCTGGCTCGGCCTGCCAGGGCCCCTGCCCGCCATTCCTTGCCCTGACCACCTGCTCTCCTGCAGCTGAGGGCAGAGCGGAGGCTCCGGGTGGAGGAGGTGCGGCTACGGGAGCAGGAGGTGGGTGCGGGGTCTGGGTGGCAGCAGGGACAGGAGGGGAGGACGGCACGGGGGGTGTGTGGCAGGCCCTCCCCTCACCATGCTGTCCCTCCAGGAGCTGAGCAAGCGGGAGGTGGTAGCTGTGGGACACCTGGAGGTGCCAGCAGAGCTGGCTGGGCTCTTGCGAGCAGTGGCAGGTACACTGGTGCTGCAGGTGTGGTGGGAGTGGGCACAGGTGGGCAAGGGAGCCAGGCACCCTGTGCCTTCTCTCCACAGGCCTTAGGCCAGCCCAGATGCCCCGGGTGGCCCCCGTCCGGACTCCCCGGCTCCAGGCTGAGCCCCGTGTCACACTGCCTCTGGACATCAACAACTACCCCATGGCCAAGTTTGTCCGGTGCCACTTCAAGGTAAGGGCTGGCAGGGGCCCAAGCAGCCCAGCCAATGGGCACAGATCAGTTAGAATTGATGCTGTCCACAGCTCGGGCGGCTCCTATCCGTGCCCTGAGGGTCGGGTACGAGCTCCCCCTACAGCTGCTGGGTCAGGAGCAGCCTGGGGCCCACGGAGGCCTGGGGGGGAGGCCCCAGGGGCTCGGGAAGCAGCCGTTTGCCAGCCAGTCTGGAAAGATGTCAGAAATGTAACAGTCAGTGGAGGCGCAGCTCGTCATCCCTGCTTTAACTTTCTGTCCCTCAGAAAGGGCCTAGATGGGGCGAGACTGTCTCTACCCCCGACTCACTGAGGGCTGGTGTCTGCCCCCTCCGAGCCTCAGCCTCCCCATCTACACACTGGGGGCAGGGGATCTGTGCTCTCACCTGGCGCAGAGCAGTGGGCCCAGATGTGCCGTCAGTGCTGGCTCTGTGCCCATGTGTCTGCTGTGCCCCCAGGAGCCTGCCTTCGGGATGCTGACGGTGCCCCTGAGGGTGCCCCTCACTGGGCTGCCAGTAGAGCACCACGCGGAAGCCGTGAGCATCTTCAAGCTGGTACGGGCCTGCCCGGGCCGCCTTGGAATCCGTGGCTCCTGCGCTTGCGGCCGGCCAGGGGGCTCTCATCCTCCTGACCCATCCACGAGCCAAAGCCCCGAGCCACGCCTCTTCCTTGGAGGAGGTTTCTGTCGGGTCTGGCCACCGCTGCATGGAGCTCTGGGGACTGGGCTTTTCTGCTCCCAGCCGTCGTCCCGGCAGCAGGACGTTCCCAGGGACTACGCGGGCAGATCCGGGTTCTCTCCTCAAGGGCTCCCTAGGCTGAGAGAGGAGGCGCGGCACACCTGGCTAGTGCCCGCCAGTGTGCACAGGGCGGCATGGCGGCTGGCAGGCCAGGCGGGGCTGAGAGCTTGCTGGAGGAGGGGCATTGAGCTAGAGCCAGAGGAGGAGTCAGGCTCTCCCAGCCCGGGCTGTGGAGGAGGCACAGAGAGGAGGGGAAATCCATGTGGTTAGAACAGAGAATCCTTCCGGAGAACAAAGGCAAGAGGGGTCTGGAGCTCAGATTTATCCCAAGGCGATGGAGCGAGGAGAACGCCTCCATGGGGGGGATGTGGCTGGATATATGGCCCCTGGAGTCTGAATGGGGTTGGAGGCCAGGGGTGCTGGGCGGGGATGGGAGCTATAGAAGGTTCATGAGCAGGAGAGAAAGCCAGCATGGATGTTGGATCCTGACTTTTTCCCAGGGCTGGAGTGAACTGCCTGGTCATTTGGTGTAGGATAGAGCTATTATATTGTAATGGGGGACTTTTACATGGACAGGGGCACGGGAAGGACGTGTGAGGGATGCATGGGGGTGGGAACCCGGCAGGAGCAACGTTCCGAGGCCCAGGAGTCTGTCTGTGGCCCAGGTCCTGCGTTTCATGGGTGACCCCCACCTGCACGGTGCCCAGGAGCACGTCTTCGGGAACTACATTGTGCAGAAAGGGCTGGCAGTGCCCGAACTCCGGGATGAGATCCTGGCACAACTGGCCAACCAGGTGTGGCGCAACTCCAGGACCCACAATGCCGAGCGGGGCTGGCTCTTGCTGGCTGCCTGCCTCAGTGGCTTTGCACCTTCCTCGCGCCTCAACAAGTACCTGCTCAAGTGAGTGGATCGGGTGGGGCTGGGAGGGGCAGGGCCGCTGGCACCGGCCGGGGGTGCGATGGTAAAGGTCAGGCCAGGAGTGAGGTCTCTGCGTGGAAGCTGGACTTACTGTGCAGCGTAGGAGTCAAGTGAGATTGGATAAAGGACTTCCAGGGCACGGTGGGTGGCAAACCAGGGTGTGGGGAATTGGAATGGAGGCGTGGACCTCTCGCGTCATCGGGATGTAGTGAGGTGGTTGGAAGTGTAGGCTCTGACAGTCCGTGTTCAAGTCCCAGCTCGGCCATATCAGAGCTGTGTGACCTCGCTGAGCCTCAGTGTCTAACGTGTAAAATGAGGATGACGAGAGTAGGACTCACAGGCTCTGTGAGGACACATGTGGAATGCTTAGGACAGAGGAGCGCGGGGAGTGCTGTGTGAGGACAGACCCGTCAGCCCCCGGAGGAGGAGGGCCAGTGTCACCCACCGGGGGGTCAGGGTCATTGGCAGGGAAAGGCGCTCGGGCAGGCCCTGGGTGCAAAGTCTACTAGTAGTTGTGACCCTCACCTGCTCTAGGACCCGGGATAAGTCACGGCTCCTCTCTGAAGCTCTTCCCTCACCCATAAATTAGGGGTGGCAACCGGACCGCCTTCGGAGTGGCTGTGAGCTCAGAGTGTACAGAGGTGCACAGGCCACGTGCAGGGGGGCGCTCACTGCTCAGCCGTGTGGCAATGGGACAGGGCCACTGCCTGTCCAGGGCTTCCTGTGGGCACAGCTCTAGGTTCTTTCTTGTGGCCACTGTGGACCCGCTCCCCCGCGGCTCCTGGCCAGGCACCCCAGCGGTTGGGAGTGGAGCCAGGCATGCGGAATGCCTGCGGCCGGCAGGAGTCGGCTCGGGGGTCCTGGGCCAGGTGGAAACCTCACAGCCGTCTCAGGATGGGTGAGAGCCTGGCAGCAGGCCCAGGGCAGGTGCAGCTGGGGTCCGGGTGAAAGTGGGGAACGCCCCTCAGAGTCCCTTTCCTGCCCACAGAGTGCTGCAGACCCCATGTCGCTCTGACAAGCTTAGGTGGGCCGTCCTGGGACCTCTTCGGCCGTATAACTGCTGGTTTGAAATACTTTGGGGCTAGCCTGGTACCCTTCTTTTTCAGCCTAGCCTGGGAGCTCTGGGGTAGCCTGGCCTTCTCATTCTCACCTTAAAGCTCTGGGCCAGCCTGGGCCTCCCTTAAACTGGCTGTGGAGTCTTCCCCGACCGGGGCTAGCCTCAGCTCCTCTCATCCTGGCTCTCACTCTCACAGGTTTGTGTCTGATTACGGGCGGAATGGCTTCCAGGCCGTGTGTCAGCATCGCCTCATGCAGGCCATGGGCCGGGCCCAGCAGCAGGGCCCTGGGGCTGCCCGCACCTTCCCTCCCACCCAGCTCGAGTGGACAGCAGCACAGGAGAAGGCCAGCATGGCTTTGGATGTGGGCTGCTTCAATGGTGAGCTGCCCTCCCTGCCCCACTGCCTTCCCTCCTTCAGCCTCTGCCCTGGGCCAGGAGAAGCTGGGGAGGGGTGCCTGCTGGGCATGGCCCTGGAAGGAGGTCTTGGTGCGCATGTGGGAGAGGAGCCGGGGCAGAAGACACAGACCCAGGACCCTGGGCAAGAGTGAGAGGCCTGAGCACAGGCAGCGGGCAGGAAGCAGCAGAGCGGGGCCAGCTGCCGACCTCCCAGGCTGAGCTGCGCCTGCTCTTGTCCAGGCGACCAGTTCTCCTGCCCGGTACACTCCTGGAGCACGGGGGAGGAGCTGGCCGGAGACATCCTGAGGCACAGGTCGGCTCCTGCACGCCCTGCCCAGCTCACCAGTGCACCTGGGAAGAGGGGAGGGAGGGGCAGGAGGCCAGATTCTCCAACCCCCCGGGGTTCCCCCCCCCCCCCCCGGGCATGCCGGGGTCCGCTCCTATCCCGGAGTCTTCCCAAGTGGTACCTCTTGGCTTCGTCCCTCCTTCATGTCCCTTCGTACGCTGTCCCCAGGGGGCTCACAGACGGCTGGCGGGGCTGGACGGTGGCCATGAAGCACGGGGCCCAGTGGGCGGAGCTGGCCGGCCACGACTACGTGCTGGACCTGGTGTCAGACCTGGAGCTGCTCAGGGACTTCCCACGGCAGAAGTCCTACTTCGTTGTGGGTGCAGAAGGGCCCGTGGCCGGCAGAGGAGGCCCGAGAGCGTAGGTGGCCACCTGGGCCCCCACGGGTGGCCTCAGCACAGGACTGCCCCTCTGGCTGCTGAGAGAGACTGAGGTCTGGACTTAAGCTTCAAGGTTCTCATGGAGGTGGGGCTGACCAAAGGGTCCCGCCTTTAAAGAGACAGTCACTCAATTCCAGAGTCCTGTGCCGAGGAGATTGGGTGGAAGGGGGTGGGGTGGGGGTGGTCTGGGAGGCCGTGGGTCCCTCTGGGATCAGATGCTCCATGTTCCCCTTCCCCACAGGGTGTTTGGGAACAGCTGGGACTCAGATGAGGACACGCCCACTAGGCCCCAACCACAGGGGCACATGCCCAACGTGGCTGACGCCAATGGGTACTGCAGCCACCATGAGGACAGCACAGATGGGGAGACTGAGGCCCAGAGAGGTACAACAACCCACCCAGGTCGACCAGCAGGGCCAGTGTCCCTGGTGGGGAAGGCCCTGGGGCTGGGGGGTTGGGGGCATCAGCAGGAGAGAACGTGATGTGTCCCCCCTGCCAGGCCTGGACAGCCCTGGAGAGCCTGCTGTGTCCCACAAGGGCCTGGACTGCTACCTGGACAGCCTCTTCGACCCTGTGCTGTCCTGCGGGGATGCGGTAGGGATGGCTGGGGTGTTTGCAGGCAGCGGGCATGGCGTGCACATACCAAGTCATACACATCCAGGGGGGACACAGCCGGGCCATGGGGTGTCATGGGGACCCAGCAAAGGAGGAGGGTGTCCTCTTGGCTAGAGACGCCCCTTGATAGAAGCTCAGACCTCCCGTGTCCTGTGGGATCCAGCCACCTCAGGCACCTGCTCACACTGAGAACTCCCAGGAGCCCCTCAGGGCATGATATGTAGCCCTGAGCAGGGCATAGCCCCTCTGGGAGCCTCATTTTACTCCTCCGTGAAAGGGGTGGTCACTTGGGAACTTGCAAGGTGGTGGGAGGACTGAGTGCGTGCGTGAGGGCAGAGGCTGGGCACACAGCAGGCGCTTGGCCAGTGGGAGGCCCCTGGGGTAGAGGAGGAGGCTGGTGTCAGGTGCCCGTTGCCTTGGAACCGTGGGAGGCCAGCACGGAGGCAGCCACTCGAGCCAGCTGCTGCCCCCAGGACCTGGAGAAGCCGACAGCCATTGCCTATCGCATGAAAGGGGGAGGCCAGCCTGGTGGCGGTGGCAGTAGCAGCACTGAAGACACTCCCAAGAGACCCCCAGAGCCAAAGCCAAGTCAGTGCCTGCCCAGGGTTGGTTCTAGGGTTGGGCAAGGCTGGGTCCGCTGATTCTCCAGGCTCCCTCCCGTGCCAACATGGAGGCGGCCATGGGCAGGGCGGAGGGGAGGCAAGGGGGCAGGTGGTAGGAAATTCCCGTTTCCCTCACCTCCTACGCCTTGGGATCTGCGCCCTCTGCCCGGCTCCCTGAAGTCCCAGGCCTGGACGCCTCCACATTGGCTCTGCAGCAAGCTTTCATCCACAAACAGGCCGTGCTGCTGGTGCGTGCGAGGGGCCTGGGAGGGGAGTGCCTGGAGCGGGCCTGCCTGGTTACACCCCCACCTCTCCTCAGGCCAGAGAGATGACCCTGCAGGCCATGGCCCTCCAGCAGCAGCCCCTGAGTCCTGCCCCAAGCCCATTCCCCCCGGAGGTGAGCCTGGCCTGCCCAGGGCATCACGCGGAGCCTGGACCCCACACCGTCCTGGGCAGACACGGGGTCCCAGAGAGCAAGCTGGTGTGTCCCAGGAAGCTCTCCTCACACCCTGCTCTCTGCAGAAGCCCCAAGGCCCTGAGGCACGGCCAAAGCTCGCGGGCACTGGACCCCCGGCCAAGCCTGTGCTCCTGCGCTCCACTCCGAAGCCCCTGACCCCCGCCCCTCCAGCCAAGGCCCCCAGGCCCCCCACCAAGCCGGTGGCCGCCCCCATTCTAGCTCAGGATCGGTCTTCTCCAGAAACCAGTGAGTGTCCTGTCCCTGCTGGGCTGGTCGGGGAGGCCTCCCAGGCTGGGCTGGGAGGTGTGGTCTCACTCCGCCCCCTGGCCCACAGCTTCGCCCTGCCCCGAGCTGGTCCGGTACTCCACACTCAACTCGGAGCACTTCCCGCAGCCCACGCAGCAGATCAAGAACATCGTCAGGCAGTACCAGCAGCCGCCCCAGGGGGGCCAGCCCAAGGCCCTCAGGTCAGCTCTGCCCCGGCCTGCAGGCAGCTGCCTCCTCCCTGGGCCCGGTGCCAGTCCAGCCATGTGACGGGAGGAGTCTGTTTATGCAGTTGCTCCCCAGGACCCCCTCCCGGCAGAGGGCGGCCCAGGCTGCTTTCTAGGCTGTGCTGTGAGAACCTGTGGGTTCTCATTGACAATGACGGGAGTGGCGGAGAGGTTCCTTCCTCTCGGGGTTTGTGATGGGGAGAGGAACTCGGTGTCCACCCCCCCAGGAAGGACTGCGGGAGGGTGTTCGTGAAGCGGCCAGACCCCCACGAGGAGGCCCTGATGATCCTGAAGGGCCAGATGAGCCACCTGGCGGCAGCACCTGGCACGCAGGTGAGGGCAGAGGCTGGCCGTGCCCAGGCAGAATGGAAAACGGGGGCCTCCAGGGAAGCCTCAGAAACCAGCTGCCCCTAAAAGGCATGGCCCTGCTGCTGCTTCCTCCCCGGCCCTGCGCTCCCTGAGCACTCTCTTTGGGTGGGGGCAGGTGCCCAGGGAGGCCGTGGCCCTGGTGAAGCCAGTGACCAGTGCTCCAAGGCCATCCATGCGACCCACACCAGGTGAGGTGCCGGGAGAGAGGGAGGGAGGGAGGGACAGAGGGCACGTGTCCACGTGTATGTCAGTCTGTGTGAGCACAGGTGTGTGTCTGCATGTCCGTGGCATGCGTGTCCATGTCCTGAGCCTGTGTGGACATACTGTGTGCACATCTGTACAATTACATCAGCACTTAAATGACCCTGATCCAGGCCAGGCCCACCCTGGCCTTACTAAGTCTGCACTACACCCTGGACACAGGCCCATCTGTACCTACAGGTATTACAGATGGGGAGACAGGCCCAGAGAGCTTAAATGACTTGCCACGATCACACAGCTGAAAGGTGTTAGACCAGGGATCTACATCCAGGCCTCTGACATCACAGTTGGAGCCCCCACCTCTACATCGTTTGCCTCACGTAGCCACAGTGACCTTAAGAGAGAGAGTTCTGGCACCCGCTCCAGCGGCTCCTCCCTGGCCTGAGATCTGCCCACTCCCAGCCTTGCCGCCCCACCTCCCTTGGCCCTCTGTCCCTCGGTGTTCCTGGGGCACACCAGTCACTCCTGCCTCACTCCTTGCCCCGCTGCTTCTGCCTGAGCGCTCTGCCCCCAACACCTTTGCCTGCCTGCCCCTTCTTCTTACTGAGGTCTCCCATGTCACCTCCTCAGAGAGACCTGCCACCCCACCCGGACCGAGGACCCTCACAGACCTTCCCTAAGTCACCCCGTTTTATTTCCACCTCATAGCTCCTAGCACGAAGAGTTTTGTCGTTTCAAATGGTCTGTTTCACCCACATCTGCCAGGAGACTGTAAAGTCAAGGCAGTCGCTTGCGACACCCTCAGCCCCTGGCATAGGCCTGCACACACTGGGTGCCGTTTACTAGTATGTGCCGAGGGCCGGATGGGCTGTAGCAGCGTTCTGCATGCGTGTGATCACGTATGTCTGTGGCCAAGGGTGTGGGCTGCCACCCTACTGCCTCCCCTCACGCCTGCGATTGCTGTGCTCCCCAGCGCTGCCCTCGAGGTCCCTGGAGCCGGCCGAGGACACAGTGCAGACACAGCTGCACCGCCTCCCCAACCCCAGTTTCTATGGCTACCAGGACACCCCCTGGCAGATCTTCCTGCGCAAAGAGGTGCCGGGGCGGGGGAGGGCTGACTAGGGGCAGAGGGGACACCCAGATTGGAGAACCAGGCCAGGGTGGAGCTGAGCTAGGCACCTGCCGCTGCTCTAGGGCGGGGCTGCACCTGGGGGCGGATCCAGGTGTGAAGCAAAGTGAGGGGCCTTTGGAGGTCCTCACTGAAGCCCCACCCCCACAGGTGTTTTACCCGAAGGACAGCTACAGCCACCCCGTGCAGCTAGACCTCCTGTTCCGGCAGGTGAGGGCCTCTCTTCCCTTTCTGCCTCAGTGTACTCAGCAGGGCAATGGGCACGTGGACTAGCTGCAGATTCTGCTGCTGCTCTCAGAGTTGGGCTCCTTGACCATGGTGTAGATGGGAAGCTGTTCTACTGCACCCTTGTTCCCATGGTTAGGGTCACAAGCCCACAATCCCATCTGACCAGGCTCGTGGTTTGTCTGAGCTAGACAGACCCATTGTATAGATGAGGACGCGAAGGCCGGGAGGGGTGGCAGGACCTGGAGGGAAGGAGAAAGGAGAGGGTCTTTGTGAGTGGGATCTGATTTACCCAGAGGACCCCACAGCTGCACACATGGAACCCCTGCTCGTCCTAGAACAGTCCAGCCTGGGCTCCCAGGTCGGGGAGGCCCTCGGGCCACCCGCATCACAGCTCAGCTCATTCCCGCAGATCCTGCATGACACACTCTCCGAGGCCTGCCTGCGCATCTCTGAGGACGAGAGGCTCAAGATGAAGGCTCTATTTGGTACCTCAGGGAGCGGGGGGAGGGATGAGCCCCGCCCCACTCACCTCCCAGACACCCCTCCTTGCTCAGCTGCTAGGCTCTACTATGGCCAGGCGACAAGTCTGGGTCAGCTCTGCCTGACCGGCTGGGGGGCCGGGGCTGTCTGTCTGCCTCGGATCCTGGCTTCCCCGTCGGCACTGAGAGCAGATGATCCCCCTGCCGTCTGCGGAGTTGGGCTCCCTCCCTGCAGCGGGGCAGCACGGGGCGGGGAGGCTCCTGACGCCCCTGCATCCCTCAGCCCAGAGCCAGCTGGACACGCAGAGGCCGCTGGTGACGGAGAGCGTGAAGCGGGCCGTGGTCAACACCGCACGCGACAGCTGGGAGGTCTACTTCTCCCGCCTCTTCCCCGCCACGGTGCGAGCCGCTGCCAGCCTGCCCACCCGCCCAGCCGGGGCTTAGGGCAAGGCTGACGTGCCCTTGTCCCCACCCAGGGCAGCGTGGGCACGGGCGTGCAGATCCTAGCTGTGTCCCACACAGGCATCAAGCTCCTGCAGATGGCCAGGGGCAGCCGGGAGGCCGGAGGGCAGCTGCGTGTCCTGCGCACGTACAGGTGCTGGCAGCGGGTGAAAACGGGGCTCGCCGGACACGGGCACAGGCTGGCATCAGCATTTCCTCACTGTCTCTCCGAGCACCAACATGGTGCCCAGCCCTTGAACCCAGTCCTTTTAGAGACAGGGACCTGGGCTCAGGGAGGGAGGTGCTTGGCTCAGGCTCACAGCTAGGAACCTGCTAGCCATCCTGCCCCCCAGACCACACCCAGCCCTGCCCCATGGAGCTCACTGTGGTCGGACGGTGTGGTCCGCAGCCACTGCCCGTGCGCCTGGAAGGGGAAGGGGCCCAGGGAGAGACCTGCTGAGTCCTCTGCAGCCACGAGTGACAGGGCGGGAGGCTGGGCAGGCTCCTGGGCCAGGGCTGGTGGAGTCCGGGAGTGGGACAGGCGGGGCCAAGGAGCAGGATGGCTGGGGAGGGCGTCCCCTGGCCACAGGCCCTGCCCTCACACGCCTGTCCCCCAGCTTTGCGGACATCCTGTTTGTGACCATCCCCTCCCGGAACATGCTGGAGTTCAACCTGGCCAGCGAGAAGGTCATCCTCTTCTCAGCCCGCGCCCAGCAGGTCAAGACCCTGGTGGACGACTTCATCCTGGAGCTGAAGAAGGTCAGGGTCCTCCCGCAGTCCGCGCGGGGCGGAGGCCCAGGACAGGCTCGGCACCCCGCACCGGCCCCCCTGCCGGGAGCAGGGCCGTGGGCGGCCAGTGGCCGAGTCGCAGACTTCTGTGGCCGTCCACAGATGGCCTTTTGCCCCTGCTGCTCCTCAGCCAGGCGCCTCCTCTGAGCTCCACAGCTGCTGTGCTCCTCACCCTCCTGGGCCGCTGCGCCAGCACTGTTCCCTGCAGTGGCCGTGCCCACAGGGCGGCCCTGCCCGGCCCAGCGCAGGCCGCGCCGCCTCAGGCCCGGCGACGCCCGGGGCCGCAGTGGGGACGCGTGGCGGGGCTGCGGCCTGTACCTGTGCTCCAGCACCATCCGCCTGCCTCAGGCCCGGGCCTCCTGCCCTGACCTTCTACCCGGGGTGCCCCTCCCTCTTTCACTTAGAAAACGTTCCCTGATGAACTGGGGAGAACACCTGTGGGCGTGGGGGCAGGGGAGTGGCCTGGCCTCTGGGAGGCGGGAAAGGGCCTGTGGCCTCACCCCGCCCCTGGCCGCCCAGGACTCGGACTACGTGGTTGCTGTGAGGAACTTCCTGCCTGAGGACCCGGCGCTGCTGGCCTTCCACAAGGGCGACATCATCCACCTGCAGCCCCCCGAGCCGCCCCGCCCGGGTCGGTGCCTGGGGTGGGGTGGGGTGGGGTGGGACGAGCGGGGGTCTGGGCCAGGCCCCCCTGGCAGTTGCTGACACGTACGCCGGCCGCAGGCTACAGTGCCGGCTGTGTCGTCCGCAAGAAGGTGGTGTATCTGGAGGAGCTGCAGCGGAGAGGCCCTGACTTCGGTGGGTCCCGGGTCCCCTGCCCAGCTTCAGCGCTCCGAACCGCAGAGCCCCCACAGCTTCCGGCTTCCCAGTGCTCTGGCCTGGCCAGGCCTCCCGGGGACCGGCGGCCACCCGCCCAGCCCTCCGCCTGCTGATCTCGCGGAAGGGTTTCCGTTAGCGGCGGATCCCTCTGTGCCACACATGCCGCCCCCCATCCCGAGGGAATGCCCTCCCTTCCCAAGCCCAGGCCCCTCCACCAGGGAGCTCGAGGGCAGGGCGTGTCCTGAGAGCCCTTAGTCCCAGGGAGATGCCTGCTCGCCTCAGACTCCCTCCCACCCCCTAGGCTGGCGGCTCGGGACCATCCACGGGCGCGTGGGACGCTTCCCTTCCGAGCTGGTGCAGCCCGTGGCTGCCCCCGACTTCTTGCAGCTGCCCACGGAGCCCAGCCGGGGTCGTGCCGCCGCCGTGGCCGCCGCCGTGGCCTCCACGGCTGCTGCATGGGAGGTGGGCCGCAGGAGAGAGGTGAGGCGGGTGGCCAGGCCAGTTGGGTAGAGACCGCAGGGGGTCATCTGACTGGAGGTGGATGGGAACAAGGTCGGCCAGCCCTGGGGTGGGGTGAAGGGGGTAGGGCTAGCCATTCTGTGACCTGAGGCATGTGACCAGCGATGGTTGGCGATTTGGCCAAATGGGTAGAGAAGGGTGGAGTCAGCAGAAGGACTGCGACCAGGCCACGGTGGCAGGATGGGGCCGTGAGGGGGCAGGGCCGAGCAGGTGGGGTGGTGGTAGCGAGGGGTGGAGTGAGGTAAAGCTACGTTGTAAGGGCAAGATCAGCTCGCCCCGGCATCTGGAGAGACCCGCCCTGGGCAGGGATGCGCCTGGTGGGGGGCATGGCCACGTGGGTCAGGGGATGGGCCCACTGGGCATGTGGAGGCTGTGACTGGTTGAGGTGGGGGGGCAACCTGAGAGCCTGGGCACATTCACCTGGGGTTGAGTTGAGTCAGGTTTGACAGGGACGGGGGCGGGCGGAGGGGCGGGTGGGAGTGGGGGGGTAGGGGGGGTCGGGGGGTGCGGTTGGACAGGCCCTCCTCGCTCCTGCCCCCTGCAGGGTTCCCCCATCAGGACTGTCTCAGCTGATCGTGGGGAGGACGGGCTGGCTCCCCCACCACGCACGATGCTGGCGTTTGCCCAGAAGTATTTCCGAGACCCTCAGAGGAGACCCCAGTGAGTGGTCACCCCACCCCAGTCCCCACACAGAGGAGTTCCTCCTGGGGCTTCTTGCCGTGTCCAAGGGCAAGGCCTTCCTCTGTGAGGGGGAGAAACCTCAGGCGTGAGGCCACCTGCAGCCGTGGTGGGAGCGGGGGGGTCGGGGGGCAGGGGGCGCCAATGGTCTGCCCCTCTGCTTCCTGTCCTAGGGACGGCTTCAGGCTCAAATCCAAGGAGGGCCGGGAGTCCAGAACCTTGGAGGACATGCTTTGCTTCACCAAGGTGCCAGCCCTCGGCCTCAGTTTCCCCATCTGTAAAATGGTGTGCAGGCCTTGGAGCAAACAGCCTTGTCCTCAGCACCTGAGGGCCTGCGCGCGCCTCTGTCTCCCTGTCCGCCGGCTCCCTCTGCATGACCCGGACCCTCCTGTCTGAGACGGGACATACCACGCGGCCCCCTCTGTTCGGACCTGCCCCCCATCCTGACGCACCTCCTCCCTGACAGAGCCCGCTCCAGGAATCCCTCATCGAGCTCAGCGACGCCAGCCTCAGCAAGATGGCCACCGACATGTTCCTAGGTGTGGGGTGGGCTTGACCCTGGGCCGGGGCCAGCACCACCTGCCCCTGCTCCTCACCGCGCCCCTGCTCCTCAGACCACCCCCCCAGCCAGACATGGGGCTCCTCTAAGAAAAGGAAGCCCCAGCTGCCCCTGGCCACAGCCTCTCAGAGGGGCCTCCCTGGGGTCCCCGAGGGCGGGCAGCTCGGGTCTGGGGCTGAGTGGGGTGTTCCCTGCAGCCGTGATGCGGTTCATGGGGGACGCCCCGCTGAAGGGCCAGCGAGAACGGGATGTGCTCTGCACCCTCCTGAAGGTCAGTTCGCCCATTTTGCCGTGCGCTCTCTCCTGGCCTGTGACTCAGTTTCCCCATCAGCAACCAGAATTGCAGGACTTTGGGGTGGGCAGCTTCTAGTGTGGCCCAAGGAGGAGTGCATCCGCCGGAGGGAGGGCCTGGAGCGGGACACGGGGCCTGTCTCACACGCCCGCTCTGTTCTCCTGTGCCGGCCTGTGGGTGACCCGGCCGCCCTGCAGCTGTGCGCCGAGCAGGAGGCCCTGCGGGACGAGTGCTACTGCCAGGTGGTGAAGCAGCTCACAGACCGCGCCAGCAGCGACCAGTGCGTGAGCCGCTGTGCCCCCCCTCCCGTCCCTCCAGGAGCACAGCCCGCCTCCCGCTGCCGGGCTTGGCCCCCCCAGCCTCTCTCCCCGGCCCTCTCCTCGGCCCTCTCCTCACTCAGTAGACACAGCGCACGGACCTGGAATTGCTTGGTCCGAGACCAGCACTCCTGCTCCTGGCGCTTCAGCGTCCTCCCTGTAAAATGGTAGCGATCGCGTGTGAATCCAGGTTACTGGTGGCAGGTGCCAGAAACGCAGTCCCAGCTGGTTTAAGCAAAAGAGGGTCCCGGTGCCTGGAAAGGCCGATGTCGGCGTTCGGGCATGGCTAGCGCCAGGTGTCGGCAGCCAGCAGGCTTGCCCTGTGTCCTGGCGGCTTCCTCGGCGGCGATGCCGTCCCCAAGCACCACCCCAGCCATTTGCAAGGTGGCCCACTCAGAAACCCCCAGTCCACAGCGGCTGGGGGTGCAGAGCTGTGATCGGCTGACCTGGGTCACATTCCTGTCCCTAAAGCCATCACCGCAGCGGGAGGGAAGCTGAGCTCTCCTCTGGCCAGATCTGGCTCCCCTGCGTCGCACAGCACGCGGCCCTCGTGAGGGTGGTGTGGGCAAGGGAAGCCCTGTGCTCCCGGGCACTAGAGCCCTCCCGCAGGGCTCACGGGAGAGCACACAGCCAGTGTGCAAGCGTGTGCTGCTGTCATTGTCCAGTCCCTGGGAATAGTCCAGTTCCCCCAGCCTTCCTGGGAATTTTAGAGCCACTCAGAACATGCTCCTGCCCCACGCCCACCCAGGCCTCCCCTGCCACTACCTTCCCACAACTCCCCCCCCCCCCGCCCCCGTCCCCAGGCCCCCCTCAGGGACCTTTGCCCAGAAGCCTCAGGCAGAGTCTCCCCAGGGAAGGTGTCCCTGGTGCATGTCGGGCCCCGGGCCCTTCCTTGCCTCCCTCCCTGGCCCCAAGCAGAACCTACCTCCTGCCTGGCGCTGGGGCCACCACCCTGCCCTCCCCAGGCAGGAAGAACACCCAGAACCAGAGCTGCCCGAGACTCCGGGCGTGGCCGTCCTGCCGTGGCCACGTGACGGGGTCCTATGCGTGTGTCCTCACAGGGACAGCTGCCAGCGGGGCTGGAGGCTGCTGTACATCCTGACCGCCTACCACAGCTGCTCAGAGGTCCTCCGGCCACCCCTCGTCCACTTCCTCCAGGACGTGAGCCAGAGCCCAGGCCTGCCCTTCCAGGGTGAGGGGCACAGCAAGGGGGCCAGGGCCGAGGCCTGTCCGCGTGGGTACCGGCCAGGCAGCCAGCAGGAGGGGAAATCCAGAGAGCCTGGCCCTTCACGGTGCCTGGGCCATGTTCGCCCAGATGCCCTCTCTCCCCGGATGTGGTGGAGGCCCCGCAGGGGCTGGTGCGCCGGGCTGTCTGGTCAGTGGGCAGGGAGACATGTCAGAGGAGAGGTGAATGGCTTCCCAGAGGAGCTGTTGCTTTGGGCAGGATTCCTCGTGCGCTGAGTGGCAGGAGCCAAGGCCTGGAGATGGGCGGAGTGGCCTGGGGAAGGGGAGGGGGCCCGGCCTGGGCTGCGGGGGAGGCTCTGCCCTTGGGTCTTTGGCAATCAACAGGGCCTTGAGCGGGTCCAGGCCGGCGTGGGCCCAAAGCTGGGGGCAGGGGCTCAGCCTTTCTCGCTTGGAGTGTGGAGGAAAGGGGCCACGCCTTAACCTCATGCCAGCCTTGTTTCCATAGCAACTCCCTGGTCCCCCTAAGAAAGAGCCAGGGCCCCTGCGGTCACCACAGCAGCAGTGAGAGAGATGGGGGACCTCCCCTGCCTCCGAGTCCTCCTCGGCTTTGAGTAGCGCACACTCCCAGGTCGGAGGCGGAGAGGCCCAGCTCCGGGGGCTCAGAGCGGCTCCCGGGCTTCCCGGCCCCGCAGGTGCGGCACTGCCTCGTCCGAGACACGCAGAGGCAGGCACGGGTCTCCTGCCGGGACTCCGGGGGGGACCCACAGCTGCACCCCCATAGTCACAGCCTCTTAGGGACAAGCCCCCCATCAGCAGCTCAGGGTGACAGCTGTTTCCAGGGCTCATCGGGTAGCCCAGGGGGCTGTGGACCTAACTGCAGGCCTGAGCCTGTGGGCTGTGGGTTTGAGCGCAGCACTAGCACTCCAGCCTTTGACCTTGGGCAGATCGCTGCCCCTCTGGGCTGTTTCCTCAGCCAGCAAATTGGAGTAAAAGCTCATCCCACTGGCTGTGCAGAGAGCCCGTGGGCTGGCGGCCGGCGGCCAGAGGAGCCTGACTGCCGACCCGGGCAAGGCCTTGGCTCTGTCTTTGTAGGAATCGCCAAGGCCTGTGAGCAAAACCTGCAGAAAACGCTGCGCTTCGGCGGCCGTCTGGAGCTGCCCAGCAGCATGGAGCTCCGGGCCCTGTTGGTGAGCGTGGGGGTAGGGGTCAGGGCGCGGAGAGGCCTGCTGTGCTCAGAAGGCCTTCAGGTCCCCGGCACAGGTGCTCCTGCAGGGCCTGCCGAACCTTGGGCTCAGGGACTCCCGTGGCAGGGGACGATGGCTGGCCCAGATCCCTCAACCCAGCCTTCCTGTCTCTTCACCCTCCCTTGTCCCAGGCGGGTCGCAGTTCCAAGAGGCAACTCTTTTTCCTCCCTGGAGGCCTTGAACGCCATCTCAAAATCAAAACGTGCACCGTAAGTGAGGGGATGTTTCCAGCAGGCAGCCGCTGGGGGGTGGGGTGGGGGGGCAAGGACACCCCAGTCTCCAGAGTGGCCCCCAAGGGTACTGAGCCCCTCCCAGGCTCTCTCACATAGTCCACAAGGCAGGACACTTCTCAGAAGAGCAGGCTGAGCCTGGGGAGGTGGAGCCTCCAGCTCAGGTCACACTTCAAACAAGGGGCAAGCCGGGCCTCTCAGACCAGAAGCTGTGCTCCCTGCCTGCGAGGCGGTTCTGAGCCCAGGGCTGCCTCTGTGCAGGGCCCGGGAGCTCTGCCCTCGGTCTGCTGGTGGCTGGGAGGACAGAGGTCAGCGGCTGGCCCAGCCTCACTCTCCCCGCCCGCAGGTGGCCCTGGACGTGGTGAAGGAGATCTGTGCTGAGATGGCTTTGACACGCCCTGAGGCCTTCGATGAGTACGTCATCTTTCTTGTCACCAACCGAGGTGAGCTGCCAGGAGGACCGAGCACGCTGGGCTCACGCCCTACATGGCCTCCAGGGTTCCAGCCAGAAGGCACTTTCTCCCAGAAGCCCTTTGACCCCCGTGTGGAGGGACCATTCTGTGCACCGAGCACCCAGCCCTTGTCTGTCCCTCTCTGCTCCGCCCTGTGTACGTCTGTCTCGCCTCCCAGACGGGACTTTGTGGAGGAGAAGGCCCTCTGACTCCTCCCTCGGCCCCTCGGCCTGCTCAGGGACCCTGCCCTCAGGAGCCCCCATCCTAGGAAGGGTTCCCTTAACAGGCCCCAGCTCCTGGGACCCACAAGTGCAAGCATTTTCCCCGCCACTTATGCCCTCACATAGGCCATAGAGGCCCTCCCTTGGTCTCACTCGGTCCCACCCCTGCCCTCTGCTGTCTACCCTCTGAGATGCCAGCTGGCCGGCTGCATCCTCTCCCACCAGCTCTGGACCACGTGTCTGTCCTCAGCCCTTGCCCGGAGTCCAGCCAAGGCATGGCAGGAGGGAAAGGCAGTAACAAAACAGTCCTGTGACTGACACACTACGTCCCAGGCAAAGTTCAAAGCATTTAATCCCATCATCTCCTTCAGTCCCCACCACAGCCCCATGACAGGGAGCCCATTATCACCCCCATTTATAGATGGGGAAACCGAGGCCCACGAGGGTGTAGTAGTTTCCTGTTGCTGCTGTAACAAATCACCACATTCCTGGGGGCTTAAAACCACACGCGCTTATATGTTTACGGCTCTGCAGGTCCCTCCGGGCTGGTTCCTGCGGGAGCCTCCGGGGGACACTCCCTTCTTGCCTCTTCCAGCGTGTTGGGACTACCCCCATTCCTGGCTCATGCCCCCCTCCAGCCTCAAAGCCAGCAAGGCAGCATCTCCCTCTCCCTCTCTCTCTCTCTCTCTCTCTCTCTCACTCTCACTCTCTCTCTCTCTTTCTCTCTCTCTCTCTCTCTCTCTCTCTCTCTCTCATTCCTTCTTATAAGGGTCCTTGAGATGACATTCGGTCCACTTGGATGAGCTAGGACAGTGATGGCGAACCTATGACACGCGTGTCAGAGGTGACACATGAACTCATTTTTTTGGTTGATTTTTCTTTGTTAAATGGCATTTAAATATATAAAATAAATATCAAAATATAAGTCTTTGTTTTACTATGGTTGCAAATATCAAAAAATTTCTATATGTGACACGGCACCAGAGTTAAGTTAGGGTTTTTCAAAATGCTGACACGCCGAGCTCAAAAGGTTCGCCATCACTGCCCTAGGATAATGTCTCCATCCCAAGATCTTTCACTTGATCACATTTGCAAAGTCCCTTTTGCCATGAAGGTAACGTATTCACAGGTTCCAGGCTTAGGGCATGGACGTCTTTGAGAAAGGGCCAGTCATCAGCCTGCCTTGGAGGTCAAGGGACTCACCCAAGGTCACGTATTTGGGCGTTGAACCCAGGCTTTCTGGCCCCAAGAGTCTGGACTTTATCGTATGACACGGCCCTCCCTTCGGTAAAGCTTTATGGGCGGAGTGGGGCGGGGAGCAGAAGAGTCTGCAGGAAATGAAGAAGCACCTTCAGCCTCGCCAAAGGCTCTGAGCCCCCGGTGCCGGCTGCGCCCCCCCCCCCCCCCCCCGCAGGAGCCCAGCAGTGCCCTCTGAAGGGTTCTGCCCAAAGGCACTCAGTGCGTTCCTGTCCCCACCTCCTCCGGAACGGCCTGGGCTGTGTCTGAGCACGACCCAGGACACTTTCTAGACGCAGCGGCCATAGCTGTGCAGGAGAGGCATCCTGTCAGCAGTCACCAGCATCCCACAAACACAGGGCACCCTGTCCGCAGTATGCACGCCTTCTGAGGGTGCCATGTCCCACCGGGGGGGCTTGCCCAGGTGATGCTCGCCTGGGCGACAGCTTGGGGGTGTACGCCTGTGCACAGGGGTACACATGTGCACACACGTGCCCCCCCGCTGCCTCTGGCTCTCCACAGGCCAGCACGTGTGCCCACTCAGCCGCTGCACCTACATCCTGGACGTGGCCTCGGAGATGGAGCAGGTGGAGAGCAGCTACATGCTCTGGTTCCGGCGTGTTCTCTGGGACCAGCCACTTAAGTTTGAGAATGAGCTGTATGTGACCATGCACTACAACCAGGTCAGCACGTGTGGGCCACCCATGCTCTGGAACCTTCCTGGCTCCCCCAGGGCTGTGAGGTCGAACTCCATGGCGTTTGTTCGAGGCCTTCACGGTTTGGGTGGTCCCCACTGACGGTTCAGCCCTGGTGCCCTGCCCCCTGCATGGCTTCCTCGGAGCAACAATGACGTTACCCTCACTACCTAATCTCAGACCTCCGCCCGCAGGTGCCAGCACTCTGCCCGGCTGCCTTCCTGCGTCTCTGCTCCCCTCCCCCTCCTCCCCCTACCCCCTCCCATTCCTCCCCCTCCCCCTCCTTCTCCTCCTCCTCCTCCCCCTCCCCCTCCTTCTCCTCCTCCTCCTCCCCCTCCCCCCCTCCCTCTCCTCCTCCTCCCCCTCCCTCTCCTCCTCCTCCTCCTTCCCCTCCCCCTCCCCCTCTTCCTCCTCCTCCCCATTTTCCTTCTCCTTCCCCTTCCTCCTTCTTCTTCCTCCTCCTTCTCCTCCTCCTTCTCCTTCTCCTTCTTCCTCCCTCCTTCCATCCCCCTTTCCCCTCCTTCCTCCCTCCTCCTCTCTCCTCTCTCCTCCTTCCTCCTCCTCCTCCTCTTCTTCAACATTTTTATTGATTTCAGAGGAGAGAGGGAGAGAGAGAGAGAAACATCAATGATGAGAGAGACTCATTGATTGGCTGCCTCTTGCACACCCAGCATGTGCCCTGATGGGGAATCGAACCCTGACCCCCGCGTTCATAGGTCAATGCTCAACCACTGAGCCACACGGCCGGGCACGTCTCTGCTTTTCTAAGTCCTTCCCAGCAAGGCTGCCCCAATAGCACCTCTTCCCCTTCTCCCCTGCTCAGGGTGCATGGCCTGTCCTTCTCTCAAAGGCCTGAAGCGGCTTTGGCTGCCAGTGTTGTTTCTATCTTTGTGTTACTCCCATTGGAATCTTGGTCCTCGCAGTTAGGATCCTGGGGTTTATAAAATCTGGCTCTCTCTCCTCTGCTAACATTTGTGGACGTGCTTGGATAGAGTGTGTTTTTTGTGTGGAACTGGTGCCAAATTTCCCCCAATTCCAAGTACAAAATAAGGTTACTTGGCTTTGTGGCCACATGGTGTCACTGTTGCCAACGACCCCATGCAGTCCAGTCCAGCGCTGGTCTAGGTGTGGCCTATAGGCAGCCGTTCCTTGGGAACTTGTTAAAATGCAAATCCTTAAGTCGAGCCCCAGATCTGTAATCAGAGTCTGGGGGTACCGCCTATGAATCTGTTTTTAGTGATTCAAGCATATTCCGTTTTCAGTAACCCCAGCCCAACAGACACCCACACACCGCAGTGTGGACGCCCACACTCTTCCCAGGTCACTGTGGGGGCGACCACGCCCCACTGCGTGACGCCCTGCACACCTGCTGCCCCTCATCGAGGGCTCCCCTGCAGGTCCTGCCCGACTACCTGAAGGGCCTCTTCAGCAGCGTGCCGGCCGGCCAGCCCCGCGAGCAGCAGCTGCAGCAGGTGTCCAAGCTGGCTTCCCTGCAGCACCGGGCCAAGGACCTCTTCTGCCTGCCCAGCATGTGAGCACCTGCCCGCCTGCCGCCCCCACATTCTCAGAGCTGGACATCCCAGCCCTGTGCACCCCGCTCACACCAGCAGGCTCTCTGGGAAGGGGCTGACCTGGCCGTGGGCTACCATCCCAACTCACCCTGAGAGCTGGGGCCCTCCTCCTCCCACAACAGGTTGCTTCCAGCTGGTATTAACAGCTCAGAATAAATGTAACGATAAGAAGGCTTTCAGGACACACAGCCCAGTCATCCGGGGAATGCGCGTGGCCATGCAGAAATGTTCACCAGGGCGTTGCATCCAACAGCAAGGCCTCCCTGGGTGCTGGTTCTCACAGGGGTGATAAATCAGTGCTTCTCAGGAATAGGACCCCAAAGAGCTTTTGTTTATGTGGGCTGTATTCATTAATATATATTTACCATATTCAAAATTAAAACTCAGGAACAATTTAAAATATTGATTAATTAATTTAAAAACAAGGATAATGCATTACATCTCTCTCTATAAAAGCCTAAGTGACCATTCAACCGTTTGACCAGTAGCTATGACACGCACTGACCACCAGGGGGCAGACGCTCAATGCACAGGCATGGAAACATGGAACAGACTGATGGATCTCAGAGGGGAGGGGGGAGCGGGGAGGCTGGAAGAGATTAACCAAAGTTCTTAGATGCATATTAGAGACCTGGTGCACGGATTCATGTACTGGTGGGGTCCCTTGGCCTGGCCTGCAGGGATTGGGCCAAAACCAGCAGTTCGACATCCCCTGATGGGTCCCCGATTGTGAGAGGGCGTATAAGATCTTTGGTTAATCTCTTCCCTCCCTCCCCCATCCCCCCTTCCCTCTGAGGTTCATCAGTCTGTTCCATGTTTCCATGCATGTGGTTTCTGCTCCTGAATTGAGCATCTGCCCCCTGGTGGTCAGTGCATGTCATAGCTATCAGCTGGCTGGTCAGCCGGTCACTTAGGCTTTTATATATAGAGATAATATAAATTAACATTACATGTTAATATAAACAACATAAAAAATGTATTTTCCAAAAAAATTTAGTGAGAAGAGTGGCACTGTTTTTACATTTTGTAAATCTATTTTATTTAATTTATTTGAGAACAAGGGGCAGGGAGACAGAGAAACAGTGATGAAAGAGATAAACATCTATGGGTTGCCTCCCAAAACACGCCCTGACTGGGAATCAAACCCACTACCTCTTGGTGTATGGGATGCCGCTCCATCCACTAAGCCACAGCGGCTGGGGCTGTGAATTTCGTCACCGTGTGGCTGAACAGAAGACACCTGGATTCTCACGCCTGCATCTGCAGCCCGTCTGCTCTGGTCTCACATGCCATGTAGCCTCTGGCAGACTCCCCTGTCCTTGTTCGAGAACAAGAGGGGAAACCAAGTAACGGCTCAGTGTTAACATGGGAGTGTCCTTGGCCCCCCAGAGCCTCGGCCCACTTTGAAAATCCCTGTGTGAATGATGGTAAGATCATGTGACTACAGTGAAGGTCCTGGTGCTGTCATTCAGTAAGGGCTCAGTACGTAAAGCCCTTCGATGTTACGGTTTTAAGCAGAAAGCATGGGAAGCGCACAGAAGTGCTATAACCCTAGTCCTGGGCAGAAGGAATCATCGGGTTCTTACTTTCTGCAAAGCACTCTGTACCCACTTTATTTTCCCCTTACACAGATGAGGCAACTGAGGCCCAGAGCGGTTGCATGGCTTGCTGAAGCTTACCCAGCTAAGTGCGGGGGGCCAGGTCCAGGCGCCAGGCGACTACCCAGCACTGCAAAGGAGGGGGTCTCCCGGGGAAGGGGATGCCCATGACTTTCTCCCAAACGTCCCCCTGCCCGCAGCTCAGGGTCCTGGGCCGGCTGGAACTGCCGTTGGTGTTTTGCCCAGATGCCCGGGGAGGCACAGGAGCTGCCCTGAGGAAGCGGCATGTTGGAGAGAAGGGCCTGGAGGGGAGATGGGGCGCCTGGCAGCTTTCCTCTACCCCATCCTCCGACCAGTGCTGGTGGTGGCTTTGCCAGCTCTGGTAGTTCCACACCTGCCACTGCTGTGTGCTGCTCGCCCCTCTGGCCTGGGTTTCTCCTTGGGGGTACGAACCCACCTTGGATTCAAGGCTCAGCGCCCCCACTCAGACTCGCTTGGTTGTTGTGTGGCCTCGGGCGAGGCAGTGAGCTTTTCAGAGCCTCCGTTCCCTCATCTTCAAACAGGAAGTCGCGGAGCTGGCCAGCAGTCATAGAGCTCTGCTGTGTGCCAGGGCGCTGGGAGCACTCAATACCCACCCCACGCCTCTGCACTCCCCAGCGGTTAGTCTGCCGCAGGTGCCGGAGCACATGGCTCTGCACAGCCTGCGGCCGGATCGCAGGAGACAGTGCTCAGGCCGCCTTCCCCCCACGTGCAGGCGGGAGGTCCAGCAGTACATCCCGGCTCAGCTCTTCCACTCCACGGCCGGCGCCGCCTGGCTCAGCCTGGTCAGCCAGCACCGGCAGCAGACACAGGCGCTCAGCCCCCACCAGGCCCGTGCCCAGTTTCTGGGTAAGAGTCTGGGGCTGGGGGAGATCGTCATGGGGGCTTTGCTGAGCAGGGGTTTCGGAGGGGGGAGATGAAGGCACCTTTTTCTTGCACAAACGCGTCTTCAGGGTGCGTCACGCCGAGCTGACTGGAGAGAACACCTTTCTAAAACTTTCACCAAGGCACCACCTAGACCAGTGATGGCGAACCTATGACACGCGTGTCAGAGGTGACACGCGAACTCATTTTTTTGGTTGATTTTTCTTTGTTAAATGGCATTTAAATATATAAAATAAATATCAAAAATATACATCTTTGTTTTACTATGGTTGCAAATATCAAAAAATTTCTATATATGACACGGCACCAGAGTTAAGTTAGGGTTTTTCAAAATGCTGACACGCCAAGCTCAAAAGGTTCGCCATCACTGCCCTAGACTCTGGGTAGCTCTTGGCAGAACCAGGGCTGGGAGCTGCAAGCAGGGGGAGGGCAGGAAGGCGCGAGACAGGAGGCTCGGATGGAGCACCCCTGCGCTGGCTGCAGTGGGGAGGATGAGGGCTGTGGGCGACAGGCAGTTGAAGGCGTGTGCCACTGACGAGCCCCTCATTCTGACTGTCCCTCTCCTGCCCCAGGCCTCCTCAGCGCCTCCCCCATGTTTGGCTCCTCCTTCTTCTTCATCCAGAGCTGCAGCAACCTTGCTGTGCCGGCCCCCAGCATCCTCGCCGTCAACCAGAATGGCCTCAACTTCCTCAGCCCTGAGACCCACGTGAGTGGCCTCAGCCCGCTCCGCTGCGCACCCCTCTTCCCAGAGCCCACCCCTCAGAGGGACTGAGCCCAGCTCCACCACGTACACCTGTGTGACCGGGGCAGCCCCCGGCCTCACCGAGCCTCACTTCCTCGTCTGGAACACCGGGACGATAGAACCCACCCCATGAAGCTGTGAAAGCAAAACCCCGCCAGACACGCAGACAGCGTCTCAGTGCTCAGGCTGGCAGACAGGGCCTCAGCAACAGAGAGTAACTAGTTGTCTCACACTCTCGAGGCCCAGGTGCCGGCAGGGCTGGTTTCCTGAGCCCCCTCTTCTCTCCCCGTGGCTTATCGGTGGCCCTATCCCCGTGGCTTATCGGTGGCCCTATCCCTATGGCTTATCGGTGGCTGTCTCCCCCGTGGCTTATCGGTGGCCCTCCCCCCATGGCTTATCGGTGGCCCTCCCCCGTGGCTTATCGGTGGCCCTCCCCCCCGTGGCTTATTGGTGGCTCTCCGCCCCGTGGCTTATCGGTGGCTCTCTCCCCGTGGCTTATTGGTGGCTCTCTCCCGTGGCTTATCGGTGGCCGTCTTCCCCGGCGCCTCGTGTGACCTGTTCTCTGCATGGGCTCCTGGTGTCTGTTCTGTCCAATTTCCTCATCTCATGAGGACACCAGTCAGACTGAGTTAGGGCCCCTCTAATGGCCGCAATTTAACTTCGTCACCTCTTTAAAGGCCCAGTCTCCAATGACAGCCGTATTCTGAGGTTTGGGGTGTTAGGGCTTCAACATATGGATTTGGGGGGACACGATTAAGTCCATAACAAATAGGACCTGTTGCCCCCTTTTTAGCTCTTCCAGAAGTGAAGACAGGGGACATGAGGACAGGGCAGGCGGTTTATCTGGGGGCGATTCTAGGCAGCACTGGAGTGAGGGCGTGAGATCGGGAGGGGCCAGCCTCACTCGCTGTGAAGTGTAGGTCAGCAAGCGAGTTGCCGCCGTGCAAGTGGCACGAGTCCAGCGGGCTCTCCGGGAGGCGGCATGGGACACACCCACAGAGGATCCCTCTGGCCTGGGGTGGGGGAGCCAGGGCGCCTGCCCACCACGTCCCCCTCGGGCATTCATGGAGGCATTCACTCTCATAGCTCTGAGTGCTCCTGGAGCCAGAGAGAAAGCTCCAAAGAGGGGCAGGTGTTACGAAGCAGGCTTGATGTTAAGGTCAGGGCACCCCACATCTACAGCACTCCTGGATCCCAAGCACTTGCAAGAGTGCCTGGCACACTGCAGAGGTATGCATTTGCATTGCTGAATCAGTCTTGCAGGTGAGGTCCGAGAGGCAAAGCCATGACTTGCTTCCGGTCACACAGCAAGTCACTGGGGGACTGGTACTCGACCGGGGTGTCCTGCCTCCTGTTGATCAGGTCTGCGGGGGAGGGATAAGGTGGGCGAGACTGTTCCACCCATAGGCCTGTCTGCCCCCCGCCCCAAGGAGCTGATGGTGAAGTTCCCCCTGAAGGAGATCCAGTCAACGTGGACCCAGCGGCCCACAGCCAGCTCCAGCTACCCCTACGTGGAGATGGTGCTGGGGGACGTGGCCGCCCGGTGCACCATGCAGCTGCAGCTGGAGCAGGTGGGCCCTCCCTCAGCACCCAGACCTTGTCACCCACCCTCGCTCCCTTATTTCACTCACCAGGCTCTCCCCTGCATCTGGCTCCAAGGGGACCCATCCCTGTCCCCTCCTCTCGTGTTCTGGCCAGGCCACAGGGAACATCCAGCCCAGTGCAGGTGACAGAACTCACCCAACACTGCACAGGACTGCAGGCCTTTGCCGTGGTCTCCCAGCGAGGGCTGGGTGATGAGCTCATGGGAAAGAGCCCGGGGTGTGTGCAGGATGGCGAGGCGTTTGCTAGGGAACTGGGAGGCAGCCAGGGCAGGAGAGGTCGTGAAGGTCCGCGAAGGCCGAGCTCAGAGTCCGGGGCTTTCCTCTGAGGGCACTAGAAGGTTGGTGAAGGACAGTGGCCCAGAAGCTGGGCTTGGAAGGCGGATTGTGGGGACTGGGATTGAGGGTAGGGATAGTGGGGTCCCCATGTGATATACAGGGACACAGGCCCACCTGCCCTGTTCCTTATTTGCAGCAACTGTGGCTGATCCTTAAAAGGTATGGCTGACTTCTGGGCTCCTGTCCAAGTATCACAGCCCCCAGGGAGGTGGGGGGGCGCAGAACCAGAGTTTTCACCCCATTGAAAGAGGATTGAGGCTCACAGATGGGGCAGAATGGGGGCTGGGACCCACACGTCTGCCTTTGACAGCCTACCACATCCCTCCTCAAGATCTGGGCCCAGGACAATGCCAGGCCAGGGCCTGCCTTGAAGGAGCTGATTTCCCAGGGCAAGAGGGAGGGTCTCCCACTGCCCCGCCCTGACTCTGACAGCCCAGAACAGAGCCCCTTTGGCTCTTTGTGGCCCTTGAAGAGCCTGCAAATCAGGTCGAGACTCCCCAGTTTGCTTCCTACTGTATCCCAATTCTGCTTTTGCCGAGGTCACCCCAATTCTGGCCTTACCCTCTGGCCCAGCCTCCTTCCCAGAACCCTCTTCTCTGAGCTCCCACCACAGTGAACCTCCTTCGCATACCTGCCGACCACCCACTCTATCCTGGGCTCCTTTCCTGGTGCCTCCTCCCCGGACTGCCTCTCAATGTTGCCTCTCCCCCAGGACCCCTGTAGCACTGAGGCTCCCCAAACCGTCTGTGTGAGAGCCCCCTGGAGATCAGCAGTTCTCTCCACTTTCCCTCCCAACCCTCCCAGGCACTGCAGCCCCCAACCTAGGAGCCTTCCCATCCCTGCCCCCCCTCTCATTGTCTCTGTGGCCCTCTGCTCTCACCCCTCGCCCAGCCATCCTGGCCTCTCCCAGCTCCCTGATGACAAGATGGCCCTCCCTCCTGCCCCAGGCCCCCTGTACTCACTGTCCCTTCTACCTAGAGTGCGTGTCCCGCCTTCGCCTGTCAATCACAGGGCCCCTCCCTCCCTTTATTGTAGTTCCAGGGCAAACATCACCTCCTCCTAGAGCAGTGGTTCTCAACCATCCTGATGCCGCGACCCTTTAATACAGTTCCTCATGTTGTGGTGACCCCCAACCATAAAATTATTTTCGTTGCTACTTCATAACTGTAATGTTGCTACTGTTATGAGTCGTAATGTAAATATCTGATATGCAGGATGTATTTAGGCGACCCCCAAAGGGGTCGCGACCCACAGGTTGAGAACCGCTGTCCTAGAGGCTTCCCTGACCCTCCTTCCTGATCATCGTCTCCTTCTGTCTTGTTGGCCCACACGATGGCTTGCAGACCATTTAGTTATTTGTTCATGTGTTCTGCCTGCCTCCCCCACTGGACTGCCACACAAAGGGCAGTGTCCAGTACTGTATCCAGAACACGGTGCCCGCACAGCAGATGCTCAGCTGTGGATGCATGAACCGAGGGGAGACCTTTTTGGCTTGTCCACTTCTGCCTCTTGCATGTGTGTGTACAGGGGACACATTCATTCACTTAACACATAACCACTGAGCATCTCTAGGTCACAGGCTCTGCACTGGCTGCAGGGACACTGAAGTGACTGAAACCCCTCAGCACTAGCTCTCACAGAGCCCGAGTCTCATGGGGGAAACAGATATCAAATAATTTCTCCAATAAACCATGGTGATCAGTGCTGAGAGGGTGTCCTTGAGCTATCTCGAGGTCATCAGGGAAGCTTCCAGGAGGAAGTGATGTCTGAGTACAGCATGATTCAGCCAACAGACCCAGGTTGCCCCTGACAGACTGTGTGAGGGTGTCTCAAGCTACCCTGCTTCTTACTGAGCCTGTTTCCACACCTGTCAAGGGGGCAATGATCCCAGTGAGGCCTGGAGCCCTGCAGCATGTAGGTAGAACTGGCTGGGAGGAGGACCCCATTGTGTACTCACTCGGATCACATTAGCTGAGGTGACCCCCAGGGTGGGACAGGCACAGCTAACCTCAGCAAAAGAGCAGTTCCAGTGTTGGCCTCCTCCCACCAGCTGAGGTCTGGGTAAGTGACTTCATGGCTCTGGCCTCAGTTTCCTCACCTGTGGAATGGGTTCTCAGAGTGTGTGCCTCATAGGGAACTGGGAACTAGCAGGGGTAGGACTCAGGACGATGCCTGCCACTCAGTAAGTGTTGCCCTCATTATTTCTACCCTTTTTCTGGAGCAGCTTCTGCTGGCCCCTGGCCCTCAGGGCATTCCCCGGGGGATTCCAGCTGGCTGTGGTCTGAGAACCATACTCACAGATGGATTTTCCAGTTCCCTGCCCGTCCCCCTCCCTCCCCAATCCCCCAGTTGGGAGCCCTGAGGCTGAGACATAGCTTATTCTGGGCTGTGAGTGCCAGGTGGTAACTGGCAATACAGTTAGAAACTTGCCATTTATTGACTGGACTAATATTCTTTTATTTTTTAAAAATATATTTTATTGATTTTTTTACAGAGAAGAAGGGAGAGGGATAGAGAGTCAGAAACATCTATGAGAGAGATCGATCAGCTGCCTCCTGCACGCCCCCCAGTGGGGATGTGCCCGCAACCAAGGTACATGCCCTTGACCGGAATTGAACCTGGGACCCCTGAGTCCACAGGCCGACGCTCTATCCACTGAGCCAAACCGGTTCGGCAGGACTAATATTCTTTTAATCTAAAGAATGTACACATGGAATCCTCACCACAGCTCCATGAGGCAGACCCCGGTAAACTGAGATCCTACATGAGGCCACTGAGGCTCAGAGAGGTGCAGTAATTGGCCCTAGGTCACCCGGTTCACATGCAGTAAAGCTGGCAGATGCTCTTGGTCTCCTGCTTGCTTACCCCTTCCAGCCGATAGCCCAGCATCCCTCCTTCCAGCTCATCATGCTCCTCCTAGAGCCCTGGGGGCGCTGGGGAGACTGTCTCCCATCCACTTCCTACCCCAGGTGAGAGCCGGGCATGTGGGGTGGCCGTGGACTCTGGTCTCTCCTGCAGGGCCTGGAACTGTGCCGAGTGGTGGCTGTGCACGTGGAGAACCTGCTCAGTGCCCGGGAGAAGCAGCTCACGCTGCCCCCCAGCGAGATCACGCTGCTCTGACCCCGAGGCAGCCCTGCAGCTGCACTGCCGCAGGCTCGCTCTGGCCCCGGGGCAGTTCCTGGGCCTCTCCGTGCCGCTGACCTCCACAAGGCCCAGAACTTAGGGGAGACCAAAACATGGGAGGAGGAATGACCCAAGTCCCCAGGAGCCCAAGACCTAGCCAGAGGTGGAATGGAGTCGAGACATGCAATCTTGAGTCAGAAAGCAGGACTCCCCCCGAAGGCTGCCCGTGGGCCTCCTGCCATGTACACGGTGGGCCCTGGCCCCGATCCCACCTGTGGCCGGGAAGCCCCAAACCAGTGGCCTGGATGAACTGGACTTTGCCTTTGGTTTGATGGGTCTGATGCTCAAACCCGCTCCACTTCTCAACCTCTCACATGTCCTCCTTGGGTGCCCCCGTACCGCCGCTCAGCTTGGACTCATGACCCTTGGTCATTTCTGTACAAATAAAAGGTGCACCTGGCAGCCAGTCCTCCATGGTTGCTGAGTGGCTGGAAAACAAACCTGAGGGAGGAAGCAGGAGCTGGAGGCCTAGCTGTGCCCCTGACTGCCCATGAACAGAACTTCCAGCAGACACATCTTTACCTCTCCTTGAGACCGCTGTGCCCCCACTCCTTGGGTGACCCCAACCCCAGGCCCCCATCACTGGTTGGGCCACATAAGGTTCAAGAGTGGTATAGTGGAGAAAGAAGCTCCATGTTAGGGGCTGGGGAGGGAGAAGTCTGGGAGCTTCCCAAGGAATAGGACTTTGTTATTGGGTTTTGAAGGATGAATAGGAGTTTGCTAGGGTTAGATGGAGCAGAGGGGAGTGAACATTCCAGAGAAAATGGTGTTTGTTCCCCACTATATCCCCAGAGCCTAGGTAGGACAATGCCTAACACAAATTGGGCACTTAAAAAATACTGGTCACGTGAATAAAATAACAAATGAATATTAATGGAAAGTGCTGGTGCTTTGGGGAACCTGGGGGTGGGAGGGGAACAGCAGACTTGGGAGAGGAAGTCTGAATAGGTATGTGGGGGCATAATTGGCTAAAGCCACGGGGTCAGAGGAAAGATTTATTTACTTATGCATTACCTATTAAGCACCTACTGTGTACTCTGCAAATGCGAGGTACCGGAAGCTGCTCATAGTTAAAGTATAGAGCAAGACAAGACCGTAAATGAGAATTTGCTGGGTGACGAGGGGAGGAAACAGCATGTGCAGAAACCCTGAAGTAGAGATTCCTAGGGGGTGGACATTGCTAGTGGCAGGACTTGAGACTGGAGGCTCACAGGGTGGTTTGGGTAAGGCTTTGCAGACTATGTGGGATTTTATCCCAAAAGCCATGAGGAGCCTTCAAAGTTTTTTCAATGGAGGGGTGGCAATCTGCTTAGACTGTATTCTGAGAAGGTCATTCTGATCACAAAGCAGAGTGCATGTAGGAGGCAGGGAGACCAGAGGGGAGGCTGCTGCAATGTCAACTGGGAGACGCTGTGGTGTGGACAGTGGTGGTGGTGGTGGTGACAGGGCTAGGCAGAAGTTAAGTTGGGAGAGATTTAGGTCCAATGGGAAGGACTGAGGGATCAATCAGACCATCCTGAGGCAGGGATGTCCCACTTTCACCAACGCCTTAGGTTGGTTTCCTTCAGAAGCAGCCCCAAGATAAAGAGCCCACAAAGAGCTACCTCTACACCAGCCGTGGGCAAACTACTGATCCGGCCCGTTTGAAATGAATAAAACTAAAAAAAAAAAGACCGTACCCTTTTATGTAATGATGTTTACTTTGAATTTATATTAGTTCACACAAACACTCCATCCATGCTTTTGTTCCGGCCCTCCGGTCCAGTTTAAGAACCCATTGTGGCCCTCGACTCAAAAAGTTTGCCCACCCCTGCTCTACACAGTAGGTCTACCCAGGTGTGAGCTGAGAGGCTCTTAGGTCAGATGATTGCCACTTGGAAGTGGATCCTCCAGGTTGAGCCCTCCCAGCTGATGCACATGAACTCGGAGTAGCCTCCTGGCTGAACCCTGACCAGACGGCAGATCTGTGAGCTGGATAACTGACGGAGGCCTCAGCTTTGGGTGCTTTGTTACGGAGCACGGGATAAGGAAACAGTAGGGCTTTCTGATTCAGGGCCTGCGCCTTAAGGCATAGGCTCATGTTTTCACAGCTCTTCTGGCGACTAGTGGCATAGCCAGTGAGCCCGCTTAAGGGGAGGTGACACTCTCCATGAGGCAGACTGGAAAGTCAGGTGGTAGGAGAGTCAGACCCTGCTGTGCTCCCAGATACCCTGGCCGTGATCGGCAAACCGCGGCTCGCGAGCCACAGGCGGCTCTTTGGCCCCTTGAGTGTGGCTCTTCCACAGAATTCCACGTGCGGGCACGCACGTACAGTGTGATCCGTGGCCCATGCGAAGACATCGGTATTTTGTGGAAGAGCCACACTCAAGGGGCCAAAGAGCAGCCTGTGGCTCGCGAGCCACCGTTTGCCGAGCCGCAATTTGCCGATCACTGCCCTAAGGCAGTGGTTCTCAACCTTCTGGCCCTTTAAATACAGTTCCTCATGTTGTGATCCAACCATAAAATTATTTTCGTTGCTACTTCATAACTGTCATGTTGCTACTGTTATGAATCGTAATGTAAATATCTGATATGCAGGATGGTCTTAGGCGACCCCTGTGAAAGGGTCGTTCGACCGCCAAAGGGGTCGCGACCCACAGGTTGAGAACCGCTGCCCTAGGGGTACCACGCTGGGCCCCCCTACCTGGCCCAAGACCCAGAAAGATAGGAACTCCAGGTAGCTGTGAGGAGATCCAGAGCAGAGGGGACCAAGCCCCACAGCCTACCATGGAGTGAGAACAATACGGGAAAAATGTCTGGGTGGCAGGGGAGCCTGAGACAGTCAACTGGTGAAGGTTTGGGATCACGGATGGGTGCAGCAGGATGCACCATATCTGCGTGCTGAAAGTAACCTAAAGGACCTTATTGCTGCCCCTATGTGGGACGGGGGTTGGACGTGGCCAGGTTCCAATGTCCACACACTCCCCACGCTGGTCTTCCCCTGCCCAGGGCCCACAGACTCTTCAGAAGATCTTGGCTTGGTAGTTAAAGGCCCAGGCTGCGGACCCAGAAAAGCCTGTGTTCAGATTCCACATCTGTGTGCTGATTAGCTGTGTGGCCTTTAGCAAGTGACCTGGCAGAGGGCTTAAGTACAGGGCCCGGGCCCAGGTGTCCAGAATTCCCCATGACACAGAACCTGCTGTCCCGGCCTTGCCAAGTCACTACACAACAGCCTCCACCTCCCGGCAGGGACTGGTCGGATCCTGTTTACAGATGCAGAAACTGAAGTGCAGACTCAGGGTCAGCAATACCCACTGCTTAACACACATGACTTCACTTCATCCTCACAACTACCATGAGGCGGGCACTAATGCTATTCCCATTTCACAGGCCAGAAGACTGAGGTTCAGAAAGAAAAGTCACTTGCCCAGGGTCATACAGCCTGTCAGGTCAAAATTCAAATCCAGCCCGAGCCGGTTCGGCGCAATGGATAGAGCTGGCCTGCGGACCAAAGGGTCCCGGGTTCTATTCCATTCAGGGGCACATACCGCGGTTGTAGGCTCCTCCCTGGACCCGGCCGCGCAAGAGGCAACCAATCGATGTTTCTCTCGCATTGATGTTTTTCTGTCTTTCCCTCTCTAAAAAAAATCAATGGAAAAATATCCTTGGTGAGGATTAAAAAATAACAAAAACACAAATCCAGAGTCCAGTGCTCTTGCCCTGACAAGCTGTGGGCAGGGACGACACACTGGCTGGAAATAAAATGACCAGAGAGTTGAGGGTGCAGGCAGATGCCGAGGCCAGACGGGAAACCTACGCTGCGTTTCATTCCCATGAGAATCCGGTTAGGCTGCAGGAAGACGTGAACCGCGCCTGGAACGGCACGCGTCCCGGCCCCGAGGCGTGGCTGGTATGTCTGCAGACCCGGCAGGTCAGGACGGCTGGGGCTGTGTTCACGGGAAGGGGCTTCCCCGGAGGCCTGAGCGCCAAGCAGAGCGGACGAACTTCATCCTGGGAGGCCGAGCAGAAGCCACTGCCCGCGGGCCGCGCACGCCCAGTCGCCACCCTCTGCTCACGCGGGGCACCCGGCCGGATCACAGAGCTTCAGGCTTCTTAATCGTCTCCGGTAATATAGTCCTGCCTTATCCGCGAGCCTGCTCGTCCTATTGAGTTTCCTTCTGCCGCTCCCGGAAGAGCGGCCCTCAGACCCAGCTCCAGCTCCAGCTCCAAGCAAGAAGCTAAGCCAATCCCGGAGCGTCCCGCGGCTGCGCACGCACCGAAGCCTCACGTACGTGACTCGGGGAACGTCCGCTACTGGCGGCAGCGGTGGCTGCGAGGGAGAAAGGGGCAGTGAGGCGCCCCGTCAGTGCGTCCAGATTCTGCGAACATCGTGGTTCGGTTCAGAGCTGGAAATTGGTGCTCTTGGCCGGGCAGTTCAAAAGTTTCCTTTTTAGCGTCTGAGGGCTTTTCTTCCGGTCGGATCCCCATTCAGGCACCTACTCAGACACCCATTCATCTTTCAGGGGTCCTCATAGCCCTCCCTGCCGCTAATTGACGGATACAGTAGCCAAGGCGACCGCCTGATTGACAGGCGGGATTACCAACCAACTTCCGGAAGCTCCCCTCTGGGTCCGCCCGGCGCGTGGCCGGGGGCCCGTGAAAGAAGTGAAAGAACCGAAAGGGACGGTAACCCGACAACCTAGTCCTAGGTTGTTGGCGATTTCCCGGAGATTGCGCGCTGGGGGCGGAGGCGTTTTTCGGACAGTCGAACGATGCCGTGACGCAGCATAGCGATAGCGTTGGCAGTGTGAGCGCACCCCTGTGGAGGGAGCCCTTCGGTGTTCTTTGAAAGTGCTCCCTCGGAGTCCTAGCGTGGGGGAGGGGTGGCGGCCGACCAGCGGTTCCCCGTCTGCGCTTGCGCCTGCACCTCCGCTGACCCGGCCCGCTCGCTCGCGCAAGTCCGCTGCGCGCGGAGCCGCGGTGGCCGGCAGCACTGCGCGTGCGCGTTGAAGAGCTTGTTGAGGAGCGGCGCTGGCGGACGTCGGGCGAGCGGCGCGTGACGTCGTGAGGAGCGCTTTAAAGTGCGGGCTGGGCCGGGCGTCTGAGGGTCTGGCCGGGAGTCGAGCCGATTCTTCGCAGCGGCCCCCCGCGGCATGAGGCGCTGCTGGCGCCCCTGCCCCCCGGGACGTGGAGAAGGTGGAGGAGGAGGAAGCTCCATAGCCGCCACCGCTGCATGACTCGCCGCCCCTGAGGTTCGACCCAGCGCCTGGCCCTCAACTCCCCCAGGCGGGTCCTCGTATGGGGACCTGGCGCTGAGGACCCCCTGCCCTCCCGGGGCCCCGGGCCGCGTCCCCCGAGAGCCATGCCCGGCCGCCCCGGCCGCCCCGAAGGACCCTAGAGCAGCGTCGCGGGGCCATGGCGGCCGCCAGCGGTTACACGGACCTGCGTGAAAAGCTGAAGTCCATGACGTCCCGGGACAACTATAAGGCGGGCAGCCGGGAGGCAGCGGCGGCTGCGGCCGCCGCCGTGGCCGCCGCCGCTGCCGCCGCCGCCGCCGCCGAGCCTTACCCGCTGCCCGGGGCCAAACGCAAGTACCAGGAAGACTCGGACCCCGAACGCAGCGACTACGAGGAGCAGCAGCTGCAGAAGGAGGAGGAGGCGCGCAAGGTGAAGAGCGGCATCCGCCAGATGCGCCTCTTCAGCCAGGACGAGTGCGCCAAGATCGAGGCCCGCATCGACGAGGTGGTGTCCCGCGCCGAGAAGGGCCTGTACAACGAGCACACGGTGGACCGGGCTCCACTGCGCAACAAGTACTTCTTCGGCGAGGGCTACACGTATGGCGCCCAGCTGCAGAAGCGCGGGCCGGGCCAGGAGCGCCTCTACCCGCCGGGCGACGTGGACGAGATCCCCGAGTGGGTCCACCAGCTGGTGATCCAGAAGCTGGTAGAGCACCGCGTCATCCCCGAGGGCTTCGTCAACAGCGCCGTCATCAACGACTACCAGCCCGGGGGCTGCATCGTGTCCCACGTGGACCCCATCCACATCTTCGAGCGCCCGATCGTGTCTGTGTCCTTCTTTAGCGACTCCGCGCTCTGCTTCGGCTGCAAGTTCCAGTTCAAGCCTATCCGAGTGTCGGAACCTGTGCTTTCCTTGCCGGTGCGCAGGGGGAGCGTGACTGTGCTCAGGTAACCCACCTGGGAGGAGGGGCGGCCCTGCTGCTGTAACTGCCTGCCCTGGCCCAGGAGGCAGCGGCCTATAGGCGCCCGCACTTTACAGTTCTGACCCACTCCTGTCTTTCATACTTGTAGTAAGAAAGTAGGGACGGGTCTGGGAACCATCTAGAATTCTGTGTCCGGAGGGTAGGTGTAACGTAATCACGGACTGACTGAGAATTAATCTATAGGCATCTTTCCAGAAGGCTAAGATAATTAGCAATCTCTTTTCCTTTGTGATTTTTAGCAAGTTTTTATTCTGGGCCTCCGTTTTCAAGTTTATGTGTTTTTTAAAAAATGAGTTGAACTTACCATTTCTAAATCTTCCCAACTGTGCCATTCATGGTTTCCTTAACAGAGAAAGTAAACTATTTATGAATTTCTTAACAGAAAATACAGGGAAGGCTCCCCGGAGCATATTTAATTGATACACATTCTCCATTCCCAAGAAGGCCAGTGACTTCCCTGGAATTAATTGAACAGAGTTGTGGTTGGGCCAGGAATAGAGTGCAGCCCACATTTAAAATTCAG